CGTCGGAAGACGTCAGTGTGCCACTCAAAATGGACAACGTAATAGAGGTTGTAGATCTCATCGAGATAAAAAGGTTTATGTAAAAACAAAATAAGATCGATAATTTCAAAACAAAAGCTCAGTTGGAAAATATTTATTTAAAAAATAAAAACACCCTGTATTTAAATTCCACACTGTACATGTAGTTTGGAAGTTAAAGCTAACACTTATATTATTTGGTATTGCCGGTATAATATATAAAGTTTGGCATAGTTTAACAATACATCTTTGGGGTATACGAAACTATTTTATAATGGTTAATTAAATAAATACGTAAAAATAAACTTCAATAATATTTACTACTAAATACTACTAAAAGTCAGACAAATTAGTTTGAGCTCTGAATAAGGTCCATAATACGTTGTTAATTATAAATAAGTTGAAAATTGGGTTTTGGTTACGCCCACTATATAAAGTGGTTTACCTTCTTGAATTTTAAATATGCACTGATTAACCCCTTGAATTTATGCACATAAAATACAGGGCATCTTTGTTTGACTATACATAACAATGATTTCTATTCTAGTTTTATTGCTTTAGGAATTAGAAGTTGTAAACGATGTGGAACTTAATAAAAGTTTAATTAAGTGCGCGACGTTATAAAACCGTATAAAAACGTTATTGTTAGAAATGTAAAATTTGCCGGGAAAGTTAAATCGTTGAAACTCACCTAATAATGCATAATAAGTCGAGACAAACAATTGTGCTGGTCGACTTGGTTCATGTTTAACAAATTTGCGCACGTGTAAACTTCGAAGAATACGTTTTCTTGTTTAAAACGATATTTCGGACGGCATGAGCGTATTAAACGTTTCGGCACTGATTTAACACGAATTTCGTTCGCTACTAACATAGAACGGTTGCGCATCCATCTAACTGCACAGGCTCCCTGCTCCAGCACCATTCTCCGATTCAAATCGTACTCAAACTCTTATTCTCTTATTTTTCATTTCGTTTGCACACAAATTCGACAAATCGGTTTCAATTACTTCAATTTTTGCCTAAACGTGTTCGCTGTTATTAAAACCCCGCATCCCCCAAATTTTACCCCCAAAAGAAACCAAATAGGTCATACATTACACATGAAATTATAAACTCTGTACTTGATGCATCATATGTGAATACTCGGAACAAATAGGTTGATACTTGTGAGCTGTGTAACATTAATTACGGCATATTCATACAACTGGATTCTTTACAAAATAAATTTTAGCTGTGCGAAAAATGGCGGAGAAAACTGCCCTTAAACTAAAGTAGTCAACTCTATTGATAAATTATTAGCGGCAAGAAACAATGTTTTAGCATAAAAGAGTATTCATTGCTTAAAGAAAAAAATTCTTAGTAGAAGAAGTATAGTTTCTTGAAAACAAATACAAAATCTCTTAAATGTTTCTTCTTTCAACCAAGTGGAAAGTGTTTTTGTTTAAAAGCTATGAAAATTATTTATATTTACGCAATTCATTCAAGATACATCACAATTATCCCAATAGCATGTCAATTTTACAACAAAATCTGGTAGCTTCTGATACATGGTAGGGGATGCAAAACGCGCTCACCGTTTAGCTGTGTTTAGTACGTTTTGTATCATTGCAACTTGCAATTCGACCTTTTCTAGGGGAAGTGATATAATATCATAATTCTAATATAGGTATTTCTAATATACATTTTGCCGCTTATGTTGTGTTATGGCGTCCCTGATAGCACACTTTATTCTAAGAATGTTTTTTAAACCTTCCAGTGAGAATATTCTTAGGATCATGCTATATTTCTTCTAAAGAACATGCTTAAAAGACATATAGCATGATCCTAAGAATATTCTTACTGGCCTATATGCAGGTTCTTAGAAGGTACAAAGTTTTAGTGTTAAAAACTAGTCTACTCTAAACATATGCTTAGAATGTTAAGAAAGTAATTGCTATAGAAAGTTTATTTAGGAATATTCCTGTTAAGCATATTTAGTTCAGTTACCTATATAATAGTAAAATATACCATAAACTACGTATAAAGGTATATACGGTATATATAATATACCTTTACTTAAGTACCTAATTAGTAATTAGTATTAATACTAAGTAATAAATATAATCCAAAATATTTTTTTATAGTTATTTGTCAAATTAAAACAATATTCGATAACAAAAATACTTTTACTATAGGTATTTTATTTTATGTTAAAAATAAATATTTATTAATTTGTATACCGTTTTTTTATTTCTGAATTAACATTTTTATTTATAATAATCCTAACTACCTATCTTTAACTTCAATCTAATTTGACTTATCCCACAAAATGTTCCAATTTTACTTTTTATGAAATAATGTCATACAACTTATGGTTTAGAGGTCAAATTGTTTATTTAATATTTTTAAATAAATATATATTAATATGTCGCAAAATTTTTTAAGGGGGCGACAAATACATTTCACTGTCATATTATGAATTTAGAATACAACATATTAGAACGTGGGTATCTGTCATATTTGGAAATATTCTCAAAAGCTTCCTAGACGGTCCATAAGAAACCTTCTAAGAACATTTCAAAAACGTATTCTTAAAATGTTCTTAGGATGCTTTTTAGGAAGGTTTTAAGAAGCTTTTAAGAATCTAATTGCATCATTAAAAGGGTATCTATTGAATGTTTTAAAAGTCCCTAAAAACATTCTTAGCAATAAGGAAAGGTTCTAAGAATATTCCATTATTCCGGGTCATATCTTCTTAGAAGATTCTTAAAATCAAATTTTGCTATCAGGGGTGTTTTATGTACTTTCACGGTGGAGTTGGAATCATTTAAATAAATGAAATTTAATTAATTTGTTTAATGTTTTTAAAGGTAAGGTATTAATTAAAATATGTAATAAAAATTGTATGTAACTTTATTAGTGTTGGTATAAAAAAACTTGCGCTTTTGTTGATATAAAACAATAAATGTCTTATTTTATTTAAATATTTTTTTTTGTAAACCCATTTTTCAGTCAATCTTCTAGTTTTCAACGATGCCAATATTTAGGCACTACGAAGGTCTTTGATTTTAATTGTTAAATGCATGTTTTAATAATTAAAATCAAAAAGCCTATGCGGTGAGGGGAATTTAAGCTTAAATACTAACAACGCTGGTAGTTTCAGTGAAGATCAGAAGCTTTTGAATAAAGCAATACATACTATTGGACAAAGAGATATTTTCTTAGAAAGTTCCTAAGCTTTTCAATTAAGAGATACAGTTTTCTTGTTAAAATCCCATTTTTTTGGGCTAAAAAACTTTTTCTTCATTCAAAAGAAGTTGGTTCTTGTACCAAGACATCGCTTGCTCTTGATTTAAGCTAATATTGTAATAGAATAGATAAATCTCTCCCCTCAAGTAATTTAAAAAAGTTATGTAAATATAGTTTCCGATTTAGATTAAGAAACATAGCTCTTGGCCATATTCAAAAGCGCAAATCTTTTAAATCAAAGTGATTTTCATTTATTTTAAGAGATTATTTTTTTCAGTGTAGATAAGTTTATTAAAGAGTTGTATACCTACTATACTTTACCTAAGACGAACTTTATTTGTTAAAATTTGACATTTGTCATAATAATGCCAGTAACTAAAAAGTCAAAAAGCGACTGTTGCTAACTTAATTTGTGGCCATATCTAATTTTTATTATTAACACTTCGAAAGAAAAAATTTATACGGTATCAGCCTTAAATCCTTTAGGATTAGAAAAAAAGGACAAGGCCGTTATCCTTTTTCTTAAAAGGACGCCGTGATATAAATTTTTTATATAAGGCAGGGTGAAAATAAAAATTGTGCAAACTAATGTATTTTTAGCATTTCTTGCAAAGATAAATTACTAGTCGATAGCAGCCTATTTATCTCCTTGACAAATTAATCTAGATGCCCGCAAATCCGTCATTTATCAATTCGCTAGAATTTTAAATTTTTGACAGACGTCCAAAATAATCTAGGCAACCAATTATACTTATAACGTCACCCGCCAACTCGTGATAACTGACCTACGATTTAGTAAAAATATTTAATAGATAGATCAGCCAATAACTAAAAATAATTACTTGTATTATAACACAAAATTTTTTTTGGAGTTACTAAATACAATATTTTATTAAAAAGGTTATCAAAAATATAATCTAAATATTTATTTTTTGATTACCTACAAAAACATTTGGAAAAATGCCAGTGGGCAGCTGTTTAATAAAATATTCTTGGAAACGATAGAAAATCACGTGAAAATCATGCTGTGAAAATATATTATAAAATTCCTAAATTAGATTAGAAATATTATTTAGATAATTCACTATAACTAACTAAAAAAGGAAATAATATTTCCGTACAACGACTTTATTAAATTGTGATTATTGCGACATAAAAGTATTTATTTGTAGTTTTTACCTTTAATTATGTCAAAGGTCGTGTATTTTTAGTTGCGTCCTATGCACAAAAATAAGGTTTTATTATTGCACGTGTATTCTTAAAATTGTATTTTTATTTTTAGTTCACTTACCTTTTTTGTGTGTTAATCTTACAAATATAACGACACTACCGGTTCAAAGGAAAAAATAAGGGGTCATCTACCTATACACACTGTATATACACTGTATTATACAGTGTGTCCCGAAACTAGTGTGCAGTACTATATACGCCGTTTCTAAAGACAAAAATAGGAAGAAAACGTCTTTTTAGCCCCAACTTTTTTGTGTATAAACATTTTGTAGAATATATTTTTACGTAAAAAAAGTACTTTTATAAACTTTTCTACACTCATATATAATTAAGCACTCGTGCCTAAATTAAATTCGTGACTAAAATGGCGTTTTAATAAACTTGATACATAATGTAGGTACTATTTGTGGCTATGAAGGGAATGGTTTAGGTAAATTAAACGCTGTGGTAAAATATCACATTTTAATTGATTTACGATTTTTTACAATTTACAATTAAAATATACAATACTTTAAAATCACCTAATTTATAGAAAAATAATTTAATAATTTTACAACCCTGCTTGTTGTCAAGTTTTTATTCAACAAAACTTAAAGAATTGATATGTTGAAATTAATTATTATTAAGTAAAGTATAGTGAACATTTTTATTGTTGATTATTGCTCATTATTTAAACATTTGTTTGTCAAATACATAATAATAATGTAAAAACGATTCCCATAAGTACATTAAATTTGACAGCTATTCGGAATTTCTTTAATATAGTTAAAAATTTCCTACTATCACAACAAACTTCCTAACCCGGAATTTTGTAATTAATTTTGGTATTTAATAAATCTAAAGTCCTACACTCTAGACAATTAAAATAAATTATTATTATTATAATTATTGTAGTTAAGCTATGCAAATAAGAAGACGTAGATTTATTGTGTAGGACGGACATACCAAATTAAATGTTCATCAATACTTAAATCGTCAACTAATTTGTAAATTTCTCGTATATAAGCATGACTAGACATATATTAGGGGTGACGTGTAATAAATACGGCGCCAGCCCTTTATAGAAACCTCTCATACGCTCGTACTTCCACGTCATTTTTATGCAATCCCAAGTGCCCTTGTAACTGTGGTGCTGATCCTGCAACCTCGTCCTTAGCACCTGGTAAGGATATGTGGCCGCAGCTGCAATCAGTTTCGATATCGCCGCGAAACCGAGATACTCCCCTGTTGTCTACAAACACAACAAACATTCTCAACCCCTTATTATTCTACCATTCAAAATATCAAATTAAAGGGCGAAGAGAAAAATTTGCAGAATTGAGCACGCATATAACAAACACGTGCGATCAAAATGCGTATCAGCAATAATGCAATCTGCGAATTTAAGATAAATACTTATGTTGCAGTTTGGCAATAAACAAATACGCAACATATATCCATAATTCATGTTGCATATAGCTTATCTATCAATGATACTTTTTTTTAATAAAAATGTAAACCGGTTAAAGCTAAATATTTTTAAAATTGAAATAAAAACATTAAAACGTAGTCCTACGCGGTTATTTTTAATTTGGTGAAATTTGGCAAGTAAATAGTTAAAATACGGCGGAAATTTTCGAGCATAAATTTAATGTTTGAGGACAGCAAACGACTTGTTCCGGGTCTACTAAGTATAGAGATAAAACCTTATCTTAAAACGTGGTAAAGTTTAAAAAAATAGACAAAATAAAATTCACCATGGAAAAAAAACACATTTTGCGTCAAAATGTACAGGAAATGTAATATATATTATGTGGATAAATATGTAGATAGAGATCTTTTTCTATAGAAAGTAGTGATGCAACGATAGTATTATTAAATGGTAGGACAAATCTGCACAGTATGATAAAATTAAAAATTGGTGGGAAAAATTTGCACATTGGCACAAAATTAAAAAATGTTGGGACAAATAATAGGAAAAATGCGCACAATGGCACAAAATTAAAAAGTAATGGGACAAATTCGCACTGCCGGATAAATTTAAAAAATGGTAGGAAAAATGCGCACATTGGCATAAAATTAAAAAATTGTGGGACAAATTCGCACAGCGGGATAAATTTACCCAGTACGATAAATTTAACAATTGGAGGAAAAAATTCGCACATTGGCACAAAATTAAAAAATGTTAGGACAAATTCGTGCAGTAGGATAACTATAAAAAATGGTAGGAAAAATGCGCACACTGGCACAAAATTAAAAAATAATGGGACGAATTTGCACAGCGGGATAAATTAAAAAAATGGTAGGACAACTTCACACAGTAGGATAAATTTAAAAATTGGTAGGAAAAACTCGCGCAGTAGTACAGATTTAAAAATTGGTAGGAAAAATTGGCACATTGACACAAAATTAAAAAATGGTGGGACAAATTCGCACAGTGGGATAAATTAAAAAAAAATAGGAAAAATGCGCACATTGGCATAAAATTAAAAAATGGTGGGACAAATTCGCACAGTGGGATAAATTTAAAAAGTGGTAGGAAAAATTCGCACATCGGCATAAAATTAAAAACTTTTGGGCCAAATGAGAATTTAAAAAGAAATAATGTAAAATTAAAGTACTCACCAGTTTGCTGTCGTGTGGCAGTTTTCTGTACTGGTTATAGTAGGCCTTCATTTCTTCATAGGTCATGAATTGTAGGGCCCCATGGGTGACGCCGAACATCCCGGGAATGAAACCCTGCAAATAGGCATTTAAGGATACTCCACCAACCGCCTACCTACTATTTAGGTCGGTTCGTTGAATGAACTGAACACATAAACTGACCCTGTAATAACCCCGAAAGCCTTCGTTGCGGTAAATTTTGACCAGGGCGTCCCCCACACCATTGTACCATTGGCTGCTGGGCACTGTTGCACCGCAGGTCCCATATTGCAGACACAACCTTGTTTTTACCACCCATATTGGATTAGTGACAAGTAAGGTTAGGATCCCTGCTTCTGATGCAGCCAACATGTGCAAAGAAGGACCCAGCGGATATTGACTGTCTCCCGCTTGAATCCAATTCTTTATTGTGTTATAACTGAAATAAACACACATTTCCAAAATACAAATTTTAGGGGTTCCATATTATCAGCATTTTTTACCCCAAAAATTGGTTTTATTATAGCTTAAAAATATAGGGAATTTTAATTTGGCAACTCTAGAATTAAAACAGTGCCAAAGCCAGCATTTTGATGTTACCCTGTTTGATAAATGTTAGAAAGTAAAATGATGCAATTAATAGATTTGGTTTCAAGAAATACACCAAATGTATTGTGCTTAATGGTTTTTTTGAACACAAGGTCAGCAAGATATTTAAATTATTACTTATCTAGAATAATTTCGACATATCTATTTAAAAAAATGTTAAGGATTTCCCTGTTATTGGCAACATTTGCAAAGATCTCTGACACCAAATTGGTTAATACTTTATCTGTTATTATTTTCGCGGATTTCTTCAGTTTTATCACAATGCACAAAGTTCAACAAACAAAGAAACTGCTTTTGTTACTTACAATAAAAAGTAGAAGCCCCATGCACTCCCTGAACCCCATACATTTGGAGTTACACCTCTGTAAAGTCCTTTAACACCTTCTTGTTTAACAATTGTATAAAATGCACTTGTTAAGCTGCTATATTGAGGTAAAGCAGTCCTTCCATCATTCACTAAAAAAAACACTTATGACAACAAACAATCAACAAAAATCAAAGCACAATATTTACCTGAAAATCTAATTTTCATCAGATCCAATGGATGTAGTATTAGTGTGGATATAGCTCCACCTGAGATTCCTGCTATTAAGTGTTCGAACTTAACATGACTTAAAACAGACAAGGTATTGTTGTAAGGTGCCGTAGTTGGATTCTTCATTGTTGAGGTTAGATTGTACTGCTTTTTATTATTAGGCTCGATCCGTATAACGTCAACATCCTGAATATTCGCTGTCGGCATACAAAATTCGTTTTATTCGAGGTTTATTATCCAAAATAAAGGTTATGTAATTTTTTTGGAAAAACTTATTAAACCATATGCCACCACCAACTGAAGAATGTAACTCACGTGTCGAATATTATTTCGGAATTATTATTAACACATTTTTCACTAATAATATGCGCCACAACACACAATACAACCAAAGTAACTGTATCCAACAAACTTTTTAGCACTGAATGACGCAAATTAGAGAGAACTTTAAATCCAAATCTAAGCAAATGAGAGAAAGAAACTTACTGCCAACAGAAAAAACAAAAATCACCAAATTGCCTCGAAATCAAAGTTCTTTGTTATTTATATACTTACCAGTATATGATATTATTATTATATATATATAAATATAAATTTACTATTTTTTACTTATTCTAAAAGGTTACTAAATATTATACTAGAAAATGCGCATATCGTCATAAAATCATAAAATATGACTCATAAGTAATGGCGCCAACCTTTCTATTCAAACAAATTTAAAAATAAATATCAAAAGACTTTTATTATAAATAATTTTAATACTTTTAACATTAATACTTACCCTAAAATTAACAATTAATAGTTAATGTATTAGAAAATAACAACAATATTAAAGTTTTATTTATTTATGTGTATACTGGGTTGCGTGCCACGTGCAACTTCAATAAAATGCTTAGCAGTGAATTTATCGTTTTCATTATTTTTTTTTAAATTGTTTAAAATTTGTTACTGCTAAAACAATTATTTATGAGTATTATCAACAAGTTATTAACATAATAAATTTAAAAAAATCTACTTCCACCTTTAAAACGCGTACACATATGTATATATTATAATATAGCAAATATTAAATAAATATTTTTTTCTACTCCCTAAAACGCCCTTTATCGTACTTTTAAATACACATTGGCCAGTTGTGGCTTTATGGCGCTTTAGTCACGGGCTGAAGTTAGCAACAGGTTTTTAGTCACGGGCTGAAGTTAGGTTTAAGTTAGTTGACAGTTGTCAAATGTCATACAATCGTTAAAATAAATTGCCCTTCTTGTAAAATAATACTAAATGTGAAAATTATTTTATTATCTCAATACAAAAATACAAAAGTATTAAATATTTTCTCAACGCCAATATTTGAAAAGTTTATATGAACATTGTACTGACCTTTTAATTTCGCCGGCAGAAAACTATAACATAAATTCGGGCACGGACTCTACTGTAAAGTGCTCATAAAACTTTTCTTTACTTTCACTGTGAAAACCTGTCAATTTTCAAGAAATACATTTCGATTTATAAACTTATCTGTGTTTATAAAATATAAAAATTTGACATTTGACGGTGACACACAGATTCCCCCATTGTTTCATAGATGGCGCTCTATACAAATTTTTGATTTAAGTCATTTTAAGATAATAATAAGTATTTGTCGTAAAAAAAGTATAGTATGCACCTCGTTTATAAACTTTTCTATACACTCATTAATTTAAGCACTCGCTTGCAAGCTCTCTCTTGTCTAAATTAAATTCGTGTATAAAATGGCGTTTATCAAACTTGATACATAATATACTATTAAAAATCTCAGGATCTTAATATGAAAATTCTTGTTCAAGCAAAAAAGTATATATTTTTTATTAAGAGAGGGGTCTATATATAAGTATATTTCGTCTATTAATTCAGATAATATTTTTTGAATTTATCTGATTATAAAGACGACCAAAATTCTTATTTGTTAGTACTTAGAAAGGAAGCTTTAATTAATGTGATGAAGGAGGTCAAATGTATTAAAAGGGTCTGATTGTGAGATAAAAATTGCACCTATATTTAAATAAAATATATTTACAAAAATATAAATATAAAATTTAAATATTGTCTTAAAGTTTAGTTAGTGTTAAGAGGGTATTTTGCTGAGAAGGCGGTCTATAATAATTAATTAATTGATCTTAATTTGCGAGGTCATGGGTCTGACAATTTCTTGTTAACCATATAATAGTCAGACGAAAAATACAATTATTAATCCTATGCCGTAGCACTCAAATTAAATAGTAATTAAAGATAAGATGATAAGAGAACTTAACTTAACAATAACTAAATATCATTGAAAATATTTCTTAGTGCATTATCAAAAATAACCTTTAACACTTATCCAGAGGCTTGTTGTTATTATTATTATTGGTGATTAAAAGTTTAACCCATTTAGTATCGGGTCTAAGAAAAGAGGAATTAATCTCCTGCATGACGGGAGGCGAGTTCATTCCGCAATTTATCTAGTTAAATTTTTATTAGTGAGCATCAGGCAGTGAGCGGACTAAAAAGCACTTTGAGCAATGCTTAATATGTGATTTATAAACATTTTTTTTAAAAATGGTAAGTAATTTATTTATATGCATAATATTTAATTGAAATAATTTTTGAAAATATTTGATATTTTTAGTGTTAAAAATAACATGGATAAAACAATATTGTGGACCGTATTTTTAGTACTAATTATACAAAATGTAATTGCGCAAAATTGCAAAAGGGAGCCAAAATGCCAAATAAGTCGCGTACATGGTATGAAAAGTGCCGATTGTTTTAATAAAAATTTTAGGAGTTTTCCACAATGCATCACCAGTGATGTACAGGTATGTTTCATAAATATTGTTCAATATCTCAGCATAGAGTTTTTTTTCTTAATTTCAATGTTTAAACCGTTCAAATTTTAAGTACCCAATTTTAGGTATTGGACTTATCTCAAAACCGTATACGTAAATTAGATAAAAACGATTTAAAGCGTTATCAATATTTAAAACTGCTGTACTTAAATGACAACGTAATTGTTCAAATCCACGAGGATGCCTTCGAAGGACTGAACGATTTAACCAGCCTAGACTTATCGTTAAATGCACTCAACAAAGTTCCACCCCTCGTTTTTCAACTGCCGAATTTAAAAACCCTCTATTTGGGGCACAATATGAACATAAACATAGCTGACTCTTTGGAGAGCTCCAAGTCCATTTCAAGTCCACTGGCAAATTTGGACTTGAGCTTCATCTCCGACGGAATACCGGCTGTGTTTCCAGATTTCGGAAATTTGCCTTTACTTTTTCAATTGAACATCTCTGGTACCGAGTTCGAAAATATGAGCCCAAGCCATTTTGCCGGACTCTGCAATTTAAAATATTTGCACAATGAGAACACAACCACCGAATTTTTTGAATCGTGTGATTGCATAAAAATTAACAAATGGCTTAAAGATCGAAAAGTCGAGTTCAAGCCCTTTGTTTGCGGATCAAATTTGTTTGGTGAGTGTATTTTGATTTTTAGAACAATGCATGGAAAAATTATCATTATGTGTCATTTTTTTTACTAGGAATTATGAACATTAAGTTGGTACCTAGTTGTTTATTTTTGATATGCAGTTCAATAAGTTCAATAGCAGTTGATAATTCTTAACTAACACTACTTAAATAATAGTTTTGTTTAAATTATTAAATCAACAAAAAAATATTCAGCTTTTACCTATTTCTTAATATTTATTTATAATTATCTTGTGTTTTACCATGTTTACATGACATACTTATGTCAGTTTATAAGCTTTATAAAAAATAAATACAAATAAATTTCAACACTTATTTGTGTCCTCAAAATTCAAAAAGTTAAAAAAAACAGGTTTAATTAAATTTATTGTATTTTTTAGAATGTGAAACTGATATAAGTGAGGAGGATTTGCAAAAATACGACCAATGCAAAATAGTGGCCGAAAAATATGTAAGGACGATAAAAATTAATAGAGGACTCATTTACGCTGGCATAGTGGCAGGCATTTTTGTAGTATGCGTCGCTTTGTATTTTATTTATAAAAAAACCAACAGAATTAAACCAAAGAAGGCAAAAGAAAATAACCTCCTTTTGTAAAGCTAAAAATTGTGATATAACCTTGAAATATTAGCTTAGTTTTTTTATTTGTTAGGGTAGTAAAATAATTTGTTAATAAACGATTTTAGTATAACTACCTTTATTTAAATACCCTGTATAGTAATTAAACAAAATGTATCAAGCGTTTAATGGTTTTCATTGTGATTTCTTTTTTGTTAAATTCATTTGAATGTATTTCAATTGAATGACGAATTCAAATTATAAGGGTGTGAACTTTGCTTTATTCTATTTAATTTTTAAATGGAGTTTATGGGATTGTGATTGAAATTAACCTAAATGTATTTTGTTTAATCATTACAAGTACATTATTGTTATCATTAAAAATTAAAAATAATTATTTTTAAATTTATCTACTCTTTTTATGTGGAAATCACAATGAAAATAAATTTAAAATTCAAACATACGCATTATCGCGCGCTTGCCAAATAAGTCCGACTACGCAATCGCCCACAGGCCGATTTGTACCAATCAGAGACAACCACGAATTTAATGTTGGTGTATTCTTTGGGAACACCGGCTTAAAATTATTTGTGTTTTAAGTTAACGATTGCTGCTATTTAATTAGGTTTGTGGCTGGACCTCAAAAAAATGTTAAAGTTAATTTGTAAGTAACACTTTCAGGCACAGTTATTTTAAAAATTAGGTTATAATCAGCTTTGTAAATAATAGTGATTTTTTGCAGGTTTTGCCTTATTGGCAAGTCAAAGTTTCGCTCTATACCCTTCAAGCTCAAACGTGATCGAATTAACCCCTAGCAATTTCGATAAATTGGTCACCAAAGGCGATGAAGTTTGGATCGTTGAATTTTTTGCTCCCTGGTGTGGACACTGCAAAAGTCTGGTGCCAGAGTACCAAAAAGCTGCAAATGCTCTTAAAGTAATTAATTACTCTGTATAATACGTATGTTTTTTATTAAAATTGTATTTTTAGGGTATTGTTAAAGTGGGAGCTGTAGATGCAGACCAACACAAAGATTTAGGTGGAAGGTTTGCTGTTAAAGGATTCCCAACAATAAAAATCTTTGGGGCTAACAAAAACAAGCCTGAAGATTACAACGGTGCTAGAACTGCTGAGGGGTTAGTCGATGGGGCTTTAGCTGCAGCCAAAAAGAAGGCAAAGGCCAGTTTTGGAGGAGGATCCTCTGGAGGAAGTGTAAGTTTTTGTACAAAGCTATAAACCAATTAGATCACAACAATCTCCATTGCACCTAGTGTGCTGTGGAAAACGCCTTGCTCTGATTGGTTTGTTTTTAATCCTTCTACCCAACTAAAAAGTTTCTCAGAATGTTTTCAAATGGAATTTGTCGGACTTTTTAAATTAATTCAGACTTTTTTAATTAGGTAATTCAATTATCTAATTTACAAATTACAAACACAAAAATTGATCTTTTTGAAAAAATTCACTTCAACCCTGATCTCAGAGCATCTAAGAAAACTTTAAACATTTTTTGTAGAGTTCAACTGATGATGTAGTTGAATTGACAGACAGCAACTTTGATAAACTGGTGCTACAATCTGATGACATGTGGTTGGTTGAATTTTACGCGCCTTGGTGTGGACACTGCAAAAATCTGGCACCTCATTGGGCCAAAGCTGCCTCTGAGCTTAAAGGGAAAGTCAAATTAGGTGCTTTAGATGCAACTGTGCACCAATCGAAAGCCCAGGAGTACGGAGTACAAGGTTACCCAACAATCAAATATTTCTCCCCTGATGATAAAAGAAATGCCCAGGAGTATAATGGGGGTAGAACCTCGAATGATATTGTACAATGGGCTTTGGATAAATTCTCTGAGAATGTACCAGCACCAGAAATCAACCAAATTGTCGGAGAAAAATCGTTTAAGGATGCCTGTGATAAGCCTTTGTGTGTTATTGCAATTCTACCGCACATTTTGGACTGCCAATCCAAGTGCAGGAATCAGTACATTCAAACTCTGACTGAATTGGGAGAGAAATTCAAGAAGAAGCTCTGGGGGTAAAAAAAGTAAAAAATAATTTTTCAAATGTAAATTTTTTTCTTTTTTTTTATAGATGGGTATGGTCTGAGGCTGGTTCCCAGATGGAGCTTGAAAGCGCCCTTGACCTTGGCGGTTTTGGGTACCCCGCAATGGCTGTAATCAACGCGAAAAAAATGAAATACTCGATTCTGAGAGGCTCGTTTTCCAAAGACGGTATTTATGAGTTCCTCCGCGATTTGTCGTACGGTAAGGGAAATACAGCCCCTGTGAAGGGGCAAGAGTTGCCCAAGATCAACAAAGTGGAGGCATGGGACGGTAAAGATGGGGAATTGCCACCAGAAGATGATATCGATCTCTCCGATGTAGATTTAGATGAAAGAAATGAATTGTAAGACTAATTATTTTTTAATTTTTGTAAAATACTTTTTCCCTGTGAAATGTGTTCTATTTAAGTTTTTGTTAGAGTGTAAGGTATTTTTTGAGAGAATGTACATTAAATACAAATTTTATTAATAAAATGATCTTGCTTATTATTTGGAAGCCCTTTTGGAGTATGCTCAACATCAAACATATACCCTATGAATAAGAAATTTAGACAAATATTTGAGGTTATGTATCTGTAAGTTTAATGCTAATATTAGGTATATATATTTTTTTAAATAATACAATATAGGTATTTTTTGTGTTTATAAAACACACAAACAATAAAATATTGTAATAATTTCAGAAAATAAGTCGAAATTAGCGTTAAACCAAAAGAAACATAACCTCAATTATTTGATTGCATTCCTTTTTAAAATGTCATGTGGAGCATATATGCGATAGCAAAGAACTTTGGAGCATAGTTTATAGAACTATACAGGGTGTTATGTAATTAATGTTATATATTAAAATACTGAATACCTTTTGACATAAGGAATAAAGGAAAAATATTTTAAAAAGCATTTTTCCAAAGATAAAGAAAAAATATGCATTAGAAGTTTTTTATATTTTTTGTGATACGCCACTGGTTACACACTTGTTTATCTCTGCACACCTGTATTTTGTGAGTACATAGATACCAACCACATATTTAGAGAAAATAAATAATAAATAAATATGTGATACCAACCAACAAAGTAGCTATGCGTTGCCAGATGTAAAAAATTGTTACTAAAAATTTTTCTTGCAAAAAATAAATAAAAACTCAATAAATACAAAAGTTTTATGCCCTTATAAGCTCTAATACCCTTCTGTATTTATTTACTGATCCAGCTATTAGCTTAAGCAATGATTAGAAAATTTAGTACCTTTGAAATTTGAAATCCATAACCACAAAATTAATTTTTTCATCAGTTTTTTTCTCTGTTTACTCAGATGAAATTGGGACCAGTTCACAGGTTAAACTTTAAACATTTAATTTGTGTAAATAAATCCAAAAGCACTTCCCTTAGTTAAGATATTTACAATTTGAAAACATAACCTAAAATTTAAAAGAAATGCACTAGATTCTGTCATAAAAGTTGGCAGATTTTGTTTGAATTTACCTTCAGTACAAAAATGAAATAACCAACAATTAATAAAAACGCCAAATTGACAATTTGCATTGTTAATTTTGTCATTTTTGTAATTAAGCTAAATTTAAACAATGTTTGTCAACTTTGTTTGAGAGATTTTGGAAAAACTGTTACCAACCATAACATAATAAATCCACCAGATTAACCTAAAGTTCCTAGTCGATCAGTGGCGTACTTTTTGGTAGGATAAAGGTTATTATAAATTATTTTTAGACTTTGGAATTTAGAAAAAAAAAGTTTCAGGTGCTTCTTTATGGACCCTAAGGAACAACCCATTTTAATATACAGTATGTCTCAGTATCTTGGAATCATATGGAAAACTTTTTTATTATTAATTTTAGGAAAAAAAGTTATTCTTCATAAAAAGTTCTGCATGGTGTAAAACTTAAAATGCAACCCACAAATATTAATTTTTTTTAGTCGTATACGGGGTATGTCAAAAAATATGAATTTGGCTCAAGAGTAAAGTACCTTTATATTTGACAATATCGAAAATTGTTATAAAGAAAAGTTAATCAGAACTAAAAACTACGTTGAAATATGCAATTACATCCATTTACATTAAAAAAAATATTTTTTCTTTTTTGTCTACAATATCAATGCAAATTTAACTGTAACATGTAATTTAGGATTCACTGATAAACAAATGATTTGTTGATATTCTAATACTTTTTGGCCTGCTAGATCCCCTGACTTAACTTAAGGTTTTCATGTTTTTTCTAATCATAACAGATAAATGTTCATTTAAAATAAAAAGATTAGTAAAAATTAACAAAACCTAATTTTTTAATGTAAATGTATGAAATTGCATATTTAAACGTAGTTTTTAGTTCTGATTAACTTTTCTTTATAACAATTTTCGATATTGTCAAATATAAAGGTACTTTACTCTTGCGCCAAATTCATATTTTTTGACATACCTCGTATACGACTAAAAAAAATTAATATTTGTGGGTTGCATTTTAAGTTTTACACCATGCAGAACTTTTTATGAAGAATAACTTTTTTTCCTAAAATTAATAATAAAAAAGTTTTCCATATGATTCCAAGATACTGAGACATACTGTATAACATTAATTACATAACACCCTGTATATATCTACTACATCTATGTATATGCATAATTTTTACTTAACACAAAAATAAACAAATAATAAATCAACTGGGTACATAGATAAATATTTAAATACCAACACATTTTTTCCATTACAATATGCGTAATTTGTTAGGTTTTTTAAATAAAAAAAATAATTTATTGTAATGATTTATTATACAAAAGTATAAACGCAATTTAATATTTTATATATGTATGGCATATAAATATAAAATATTTATCTTTGGCACTGTATTTTCAACTGTGAAGTCTGAACACAATTCATAAGGCACTCAGGGTTGCCAACTCCAAGAGACAAGGTTCTCTGGTTCTGTCACCTTCTTTATCTCTGGGTTCTGTATGTGTTGTTGAGAAGTAAATACAGGGTTTTATAAAATTATAATTTTCGGTACACACTTTATAGAACTTTCAAATAAATAAAGCTTAAAATAATAAAAATAAAATGTTTAAACCCTTATAAATCAAAAACCACTCACCAGATTGTGAGTGAAAACCCGGAGAAATTATTTTCTCCCTAAAACTTCGGAGGGTTTGGCAACCCATAAGGTTTAGGCACTATAACTTACAACCTATAATTTCGTTTTAAATGTTAAGTTTATCGAAGGTATACCCGTAAAATAGTTGTATAAATAAATATTTGTTTTTTGTTTTGAGAATTTTAAAGCATTTCTCATAACAATTGTTAACATTACATCTAATTAGTCTTTTTTATGGCCTCATTATCTTAATGGAATGTCTGTGAAGCTCAAAATATCACAATTATATGTTTACTATTAATATTATACATTAGACGTCAGGTCCATCTTGTCCATTTTTATGTACTTCTTTTCGCGCTTCTCGAAAAAATGCATCTTAACAATTAAAAAACATCTGGTCCCGTAGAGAAAAACAACCATGAACAAGAGGACAGCAAAAATAATTAAACCTGAGGTAAAGTGATAACGTGAAGTCGTTCCTAAAAATCATAAATTAAATGTAATAAATCTAAATTATGCCAAGGTACCTACTACTGCATATATGAATACTAAGCATGCGGGAAATAGAATTTTTTTATCTGCACACACATTTATTTTTTAATAGTGGAAAATTGCATATAGGTATTTCCTTCAGAAAAAAACAGAAAATGTTAAAAAAATACCCAAATTACCTATACTGTGCTAATTAATTATGCAAATACCAATGATGTCAGACCCAATTAAATAATTAATTAAACTTTATTTAACACCAGTATAATAATTTCCTTCAAAACTCATTATCATCTTTTTATTACTTTTAGATTGTTATATGATATTATAGTATCAAAATACTATAAACAAATCATATAGGTATGAAAGGTGTAAAATAGGTATCTCTACGAGAAACCTTTAGGGAGAAAAATGTATGATTTGTGCTATTTTTTATTCCCAGAAAAACATTATTTGAACTAGTTAGTTTAAAATTGTATAAGATTAAATAAATACCTACCAGAACGCTGTAAAGCCTTGTAAGCATTTTATTTATTTATAATAATTGCCTTTAAACAATAGTGTAAACATTACTAGTATTAACAATTATAACTAAATTAGTTATACATGTCTAAGAAAAAGGATTCCATAGTGACCATAATGTACCTATATAAAACATGTTTTTTTAAATTTATAATAAAACGGTGATCCGCGTATTCTATGCTTCAAGGTATCCATACTTAGAAGCATAGAATACGTGGATCACAATTTTTTAATAAAAAACCGTGATTTTTGAACCAAATAATTTAAAAGAAAGATATGGAACCCTTTTTCTTTAATATCTATGTATGCAAAATTAAAATGTTTAATTGCATTTCGTTATTAATCAGTATTGAATCATACTAAAGTAATGTAGGTAACTATATAAAAGTTGATAGTCTAACTATAAACAAGCATGGCAATAAGTTCGGTATTTAAAGTATTAAATAAATTTTAAATATTATTATTCACATAATTTAACCGGAAACCAAAAGCGTGTTGAATGAATTTTAAATTTTTAAGTTTAGGGACAATAAAGGTGTAATTAAAAAAATATTTAACATTTTAGTACCTATATATCTTTGACTGCACTTCCTATAGTTAATCAGGTAAAACTTTACTTACTTTTTGGGGCCTCATGAGTATTTTTGGATTTTTGTTCAATATTTTTGCTGTATTGGTGAGATTCATTGATAATCAAAAGGCCTAAAATCCAAATTCCTAACACAAACAGTATAAAAAATACAATTAAACTTACAAAATATCACTAACAGGAGGTTTCTGTGAAACATTTTGATTTTTTGTTGGTATTTTAAGTCAAAATCTAAGAAAAATCATAAAAACGTTTGATGAAAACAAACTCACTATGCTAACTAACGCTTGTGAACGCTTGCATTCAAAACTACTACTACTATAGGTACCTATGCGCAACAGGTTTGAACCACAGAACTCCACCCATCCTGTGTACCGTGGTACTAAAAAAAAATCATGTATAAACGTGTATACACTCAGTATAAACCGAAACATTTATTATTATTACTATTATTCACAGGGCATTTGCAAATAATAATAATCAATTTCTATTTATAAATAAATAAATAATCTTTATTAAATCTTAAACACAAATAATACTGAGGGATTAACTTATAGGTCAAGGTCGTACAACCCTTAGTCTTTCTGACACTCCAATTTATTACTCATTTTACTCGGACGAATACACTAATTAGCAGTAACGTATTCTTAAATAAACATTAAATTTATTTTGATATGAATCTCAGACAAAATCATCATTATAAAGTAATTAGAAATCTTATAAAATACCCAACTTTGAATTTGCCGCTAAAACTGAATAAAAATTAAAACATCTTTAAAAAACTATTTAAAGTAAATTTTAACTTCTTTTTTAATATATTACCCAATAAAATCAATAAAACATTTAGTTTTGTGCTAATTTTTAAAACATAATAATTAATGCAATTTTAATTTCGGAGTCATATGTTTTTCTCCATATTGTCTCCCTTAATGAGTCTGAGGATGGCGTGGGTGGTGTGCTAAGTCGTAAATTCGTGTAATTAGTGTTAAAAATCCATTTTAAACGATTTAAACAGGTAAATAAATGCATTTAAATGTGGCGGGAACAATGTTTGAACTAATTGGATCCCAAAAGCGCTTGCGCCTTAGTTTTACATCATTCGTGTTTCTATGCTTTAGTAACCTTTATTATAATTTCAGTAACTGTGTTTATTATGTGAAATAGTTGTTAATTGTGGTCTTGTTATTTTTAGTTGATTTTTGTTTACACCATGAACCGTAGGCGAGGCGTGTTTTCCATGCCAGAAGAGTTTCAGACGAACGAAAGGTTATTTACAAAAAAGGTAGGTTGTCACAAAAACAAATTGTCGTGTATTTACGAAGAGTTGTAGGAACTTGCCACGAGGAATACGGCACCGACATGTCCCGGAGTTCCGATTAAGTTCAGCAAGATGGTTATGCGTAAAAGGATGCTCTATTCTGAACCGAAGGCTGTGTTTTTTAACAGACAAGGTATGTACATTTCTCTCTTACGAATACCCTTACTAATATCTTGTTTTCTTACAGTAAAACTAAGTGACATGTACAATGACAAAAAAAATGTCACCTACATGAATCAGTGCTTTTTAAAAATGCAAATAATAGGCGAAGGAAGCTTTGGTGTTGTTTATAAAGTACGTTGCAGAGAAACTAACGAATTTTACGCAGTGAAACGTGCCAAACCCCATATCAACGTACAAGACTGCTTGGCTGAAATTGAAAACAATGAAAAAGTAGGCCATCACCCAAACATTGTCAAATACTACATGGCTTGGCAGGAGTGGTCACAATTCCATTTGCAACTGGAATATTGTGAAATGAGCTTGGCAATGTATGCCAAAAAAGACAGTGATATGTCCGAGGAAATGTGCTGGAACATTTTGTACGACATATGTCAGGCTTTAGCCTTTTTACACGACAAAGATCTATTGCATCTTGATGTTAAACCGGGCAATATCTTGCTCAAACAGGGACACTTCAAACTTGCTGATTTCGGATTGCTTGTCGATCTAAAAAAGATTCCGGAACCTTTCAGAAACAATGCTAAATTGACCGGGGAAGCCAAAAAGGTACTAGTATATTTTAAAATACACACTATTACTCTGACAGTTGTTCACATTCTTAAAACAATCATATCCAACTTTTTTTTTGTCTGACATGCATTAGGGCTGTTACGGATCTCACTTTTTGTGACAACTGCCAGATTTGTAGCATTTTTAAAGTCAACATCTGCAGATGTTTTGGAATTTACATCCATTGAATTTTACAAAAAGATTAATTTTAAAGAAACTTAATTGAAAGGTCCAATGCAATAACCAGCCAAGTCCATAACAGTAACTTTTTAGGAACAGGTCACGACTTGTTATTGCAAGTATTTTATGGTAGGCAACTAACAAAACACGTGTATTTTTTATTTCATACAAATCACGGGATAAAAGATTTTTTTCCTGTGTAAAAATCGACTGTTTGCTTTAAAAATGGACTTGACCAGTTATTGCCCTGGACCCTTTAATGGGGTTGGGACATGCAATTTTTTTTTTATTAAAAATTTGGAATTTACGCATACGAGTTTGTTATTAAAATTTTAAAAATTCAAAATGCATCGATGACCGTAAAGAAGGATCGTGACGTCACGATGTTATAACAGATGTTTCAAGAATTACGAATTTAATTTAATTAGTGGCAAAATTCGCATATAAAGTTTGCAGACGTCTGTAACACCACTGATATGTATTATATTGTATATTTGATTTTATGCCTATAAAAAGTAGATAGTTATGCAAAATTTAAAATATGTATTTTTGACAAGGAGGTGCGTAATTGCCTATCGACTCTATCAGATGGAGATTCCAAATATTTGGCAGCAGAGGTGCTCGACACTGTTTATACCACAGGCTGTGATATTTTTGGATTAGGTATAACAATTTTAGAGTGCTCTGCTGACTTGGACCTACCGGAACATGGACCTTTGTGGCATCAAATAAGACATGGCATATTGCCAAAAGAATTCCATAAACGTAAGCTAATAATAATATAAATAAAAATCAAAAGTTAAATTTTTTTGTGTTTATTTTTAGGGGCTTCCCTGGGGTTGCAAGTTTTGATTGAGAAAATGCTTTACTTCAATTGCACAATGAGACCTGCTGCGCAGAAAATTTTGTCCTACCAGTATATGCGCGAGCTGGCTAAAAGGGATAAAAAACATGGCCGTACGGATTTTGCAGTAAGTTAAAAATCCCTTGTTTTTGTAATTTTTTTTAACAATTTTATTTTTTTCAGAGACCATTCATTAATGATAATGAAGTTCATAACTTTATTGATTACTATGATGAATGTTTTCTTGACAATAACAACACTAAGAGGTAACCAAAACCGTAAGTTTTTTGCTGAAATTTTTTTAATATTTTTATTTTATTTTAGTGTTCAACCCCATTCCGTCCTCGGCAAAAAGTCCCTCCAGTTCTTGAATGATGATTAACACAAATTACTTACTACTTTATTTTGCTCAACGTTTTGTTAAAAGTTGGTAAACTTTGGTTTAACGTTCGAAACGTACCAAGTTTCATATATATATTTTTAATCAGCATATTGCTTTCACTAATATGCTTTTCGTTTTGTATTTGATAATGCATAGCCAATAACTATCATAAATTGCACTTTTCTATTACTATTTAATTGTATTTTTTAATGATCTCTCCTCTATTTATTATCACTCTTCCATTTACATTTTTGTTTTAGTTATTTAAATACCTTTAGTTTAGTCTTTTGCGCACAACTAAATAATTCTGTGGTTGTTTTAGTTATTTAATAATCCTAGTTATAGTTGCTACAGATGATCTCATGTGATTTATGATAGTTATAGACTCAACATGAATATAAATTTGCAAACACGCTCGAATGTTTAAAAAAAAGAGATTACCTGCTGTTTATGCAAATTTTCATGTATTTGTTTATATTGTTCTAAAGTTTTGTTGATTTTTCAATTTTTATATTTCTTGTTAAAATATTACTGCATTTTGCCACAATGTTACTGCAATAAACAGGTGCTAGGCATTAAAAATTAACAATGTGATTTAACATGGCTCGAGAGTTACTATTTTCATTAATGAATGAATGAATGGGTAATAAATGTTAAAATTAGTGGTTCATGTGATTTAGATTTAGTCAAGCCTTGTTATTTATATCTTATTTATAAAGAGAAATACTTTTATACTTCATGAAACTAATAAAAACTTAATAAAAGTTATGTTTGTCTTTATTTCTATCCCATTCCTATGTTTTACAAGTTTACAAGTAAACAACCACTTAAGTTTGTATGCTATTTTTTTACTTAACTTAATTAATTGAATTAAAATATGCACAATTTGCGTACGCACTTTAGGTGTGATGAAAAATTACGTCATATGATTGGTTCATTGCTTTCTATAGAGATTTTTTTCTATAGAAAGTAAAGTCGCAAATTTCCACAAACACTCCCTGTGAATATTTTTATTAAATTAATTAAAATATGTCATTTTCGTTTGCTTTAAAAATTTGAATTTGCCGCCATGTCGCAGCATATTTGAGGTTAGCTTTATTATTCAAGTGGAAGGTGGAAGGTCATAAACCTTATTCATCATTCTTTTCAATCGCAAAATGAAAGGTCCACAATATAACTAGATAAACGCTAAGCAACATGTGTATAAAGAAGAAAATAGCGAGCTCAAAATCAGTGCATTAAACTTAACAGGATCATATGGAAGAAACGTGTGTTTAAAAGTAAATAAATAAATATATAATTATTATGGATATGGAGCAAGGTATTAAACAAGAGATGCTGAACGAAAAGTCAAGGAACAACTCGAATATATGTTTAACAGTGGAATTGTGTGTGGTTTGTGGGGACAGAGCCTCGGGAAGGCACTATGGGGCAATCAGCTGTGAAGGATGTAAAGGCTTTTTCAAAAGGTCAATACGTAAACAACTGGGCTACCAATGCAGGGGCAGCAAGAACTGCGAAGTCACTAAACACCACAGAAATCGCTGTCAGTACTGTAGACTACAAAAATGCCTTGCTTGTGGAATGAGAAGCGATTGTAAGTAAACAAATTAATTTTATCATATTAACATATTAAGTAAATGTAATTGCAGCTGTTCAACATGAAAGAAAGCCCATTATCGACAAGAAAGAGTATTCAAACAACACAGGAAGTAACTTTGTAAATTCAAACCAAACAAATCCTGCAAACAAAATATTTATACGGAAAGATTTAAATTCTGATTCTGCTATTATCCCCAGCCACTTCAATCCATGCGATTTGGGCATCCAGTTCCTAAATAAACGTATTGGTAACTATTGTACTAAGCATGAACAATTAATTTATGTTTATAATGCATGGTAAACTAACATTCCCCCCACAGCATCCCCATTTTTTTAATCCTTTTGTTAATTTGAAATGTAGTGGCGCGGGCATGCGCACAGCATTATGCAAGCTTTCAAAATAATGGTCACATTATAATTTTTTGTACTCCCACCTTAAAAACGGCCATTATCGTACATGTTTCCATGTTTTTAAATACACATTGACAAGTGGCTTTATAGCGTTTTAGTCACGGGCTGAAGTTAGTAACAGGTTTTTAGTCACAGGCTGAAGTTAGTTGACAGTTGTCAAATGTCATACAATTGTGTAAATAAAGTGCCCTTCTTGTAAAATAATATTAAATGTAAAATTATTTTATTATCTTAACACAAAAATACAAAAGTATTAAATAGTTTCTCAGCGCCAATATTTGAAAAGTTTATATGAACAATTTACTGACCTTTTAATTTCGCCGTCAGTAAACTACATAAACTTCATTTTGGGTAAAGACTCCACTGTGGAGTACAATAAAACATTTTCTTTACTTTCACTGTAAAATACTCTTTCTATATCCGATTAAACGGTTTATTTTCAAGCGATACATTTTGATTTACGCAAAAAAATTTGACATATGACTTAAAACACCTCTATACAAATATTCAATTTAAATAATTTTTAGTTAATAATTATCAAGTGTTTGTTGTAGAAAAATTATAGTAAGTATGCAACTCGTTTATAAACTTTTTAAGGCACTCATTTAATTAGGCACTCGCTTGCAAGCTCCCTCGTGTCTAAAATGTTGTTTATCAAGTTTGATACATAATATGTTGAATAATTTAGTTTTAATAAGATGTAATTAGAGAAGAAGAAGAAGAGTACTGTAACATAACCAATATGTAAGCACGTTGTCGTATAAAATAAAACTTAAGATTAAAATAATAGAAGTAGACTATTATTGTAGACATAAATCAACCCCCAGATACTGTAACAGGTTATGGGCACAGCAACAAAGCCATAAGATGAGTAGCTCAGTGGTAAATTTACCTCAGTTAACAAGTTCTACGAATTTCAACAACTGGAAGTTCAGAGTTCACACACTTCTAGAAGAAAGGCAGATATCCGAGGCACTGGAAAAAACAGAGGATAACTATACTGATGACAACAGCAAAAAGGAATTTAAGTTGAAAGATGCAAAAGCGAAAAGCATAATTGTACAATGTTTAACAGATAAGCATTTGGATTTAGTAAAAGACGCTAAAACTGCTAAAGAGATGATGAAAGCATTGGAAGGAGTATTTGAAAGAAAAAGTGTGTTTACCAAGCTCACTTTAAAGCGTAAGTTATTGACATTAAAATTAAAAAGAGGGGATAAACTAGAAGATCATTTTCTTATTTTCGATACACTAATAAGAGATCTGGAAAATGCTGGTTCAGGAAAGATAGAAGAAGAAGATAAAGTATGCCATCTATTACTTTCGCTGAATGAAGATTACCAACCTGTAATAACTGCAATAGAGACAATGAACACTGACATTAAAATGGATTTCGTAAAGGCTAGGCTGTTAGATGAAGAGATGAAATTCAAGAATAAACAGAGTAATCAGAGTAACAATGAAATGTCATTTGCATGTTATAAATGTGGAAGACAAGGTCATAAGTTTTTTGAATGCAAACAAAATAATATGACAAGAGGAAACTTCAGAGGACGTAGAGGTTATAATAGAGGCTTTTCACAGAATAACAGAGGCCAGCAAAGAGGACAAGGTAACAAACAAAGTGAAAACAGAGGTGAAAGCAGTAATATAGCAGACAAGACAGAAGAAATAGCATTCATTGCACTGAATAGCAGCATAGAAAATCAGACAAATATAAAAGATTTTATTTTGGACTCTGGATGTACACAACACATGGCAATGGAAGAAATGGAGATGTATATGTCAAATGTCAAGGAAATACCAACAATAAAGATAGGCACAGCAAAAAACAATGAAATTTTATATGGAAATAAGCAAGGTACACTAAAAGGAGTTTGTCAAGGAAAAGAAATAAGAATAGATGCATTGATAGTTCAAGGTATGACACATAATTTATTATCTGTAAGCAAATTACTTAAAAAAGATTTTAAAGTTAGTTTTTGTAATGACTCAGGAACAAAGAAGGCAATTTTGTCTAAAAACGATTTAAATTTTTACTGTAAGTCACTTAATAATTTGTTTATTTTAACGATAGATTTTAAGACTGAAAACTGTAACTATACTGTAAGAGAAGAAGGTATAGAGCAAAATGTAGATAAAAGTCTTTGGCATAGAAGGTTAGGGCATACAAATAGGCATAATTTAAGTAAGTTAGGGTTACCATATAGTTTAGATATTTGTAATACATGTGTAGAGGGTAAAGGGACTAGAAAACCATTTTATATAAAAGAAAAGACAACAGCTAAAATTGGTGAGTTGATACACTCAGATATTGCAGGTCCAGTTAAAACTCCAACGCCTGAAGGGCATAGATACTTTCAAGTTTTGATAGATGATTATTCTCATTTTTTGGTTGTTAAACTTTTAAAAAAATAAAAGTGAAGGGGAACAAAACTTAATTGATTTTATTAACTTAATAAAAACTCAATATGGGTTAAAAACAAAAAGAATAAGAGTAGATAATGGTGGGGAATTTATGTCAAATTTCTTTAAAAATGTTTGTAAAATGAAAGGGATTGAGCTTGAGTACACAATGCCATATACTCCACAACAGAACGGCACATCGGAGCGAATGAATAGAACATTATTGGACAAAGTCAGAACGAAATTTGTGGAAACAAACCTACCTAGAGAGCTATGGGGTGAAGCGATTCAATGTTCAGCTTATGAGCTAAACAGGTCACCGACAGAGGCAAATAATGGAGAAACTCCAGCTACAAGGTGGTACAATAAGAATGATATATCAAAATTAAGAGTTTTCGGAAGCCAAGCATGGGCAGTCATTTTACCAAGGCAAAGTAAACTAGAAAGAAGGGCACAACCATGTATACATGTAGGATATACTGGAGCAGGTTACAGACTATGGAACTATGAGGAGAAAGAGATTTTTTGTTCAAGAGACGTGAAATTTAATGAGAAGATAACCAACTATGACGAAATAAAGAAAAATAAAAAAAATGAAGGGTATAAGCAAGTAATAGAAGATATTGAAAATGAATATGATTTAAAAGGAGGAACAAATGAAATAGAAATTGAAATACAAGAAGAAAATGAGACAGAAGATGAATCAAATAAAGGTGCAAACAGTTCAAATTCAGAAAGCTATGAAGAATGTGTATCAAGGATGGAGACAACAAGCAAAGGTAGAAAAATCACTCAACCAAGACATCTAACTGAATATGAGATTTATACCGCATATTGCCTAATATCAGCGAGTAAAGAAGATCAAACTAAGTATGAAGAAGCAGTGAAGAGTAAAGAATGGAAGGAAGCTATCAGAAAAGAATTGGATTCCCATGAAAAACTAAAAACATGGACAGAAACAGATTTACCAGAAGGAAAAACAGCAATACAGACGAAATGGGTGTTTAGAACAAAAGAAGATGGAACTAAAAAAGCTAGAGTGGTGGCAAAGGGGTTTCAGATCAAGGAGGAGGATCCTTTTGAACCAAACTACTCACCTGTTGCAAGAACTTCAACGATTAGACTATTTTTGTCAATAGCGTTACAACATAACTGGAAAATAAGACAACTAGATATACCTACAGCTTTCTTGAATGGAATACTCGAAAATGAAGTTTATGTTTATGCACCAGCAGGATTAAAGTGTAATACACCTACACTAAGACTAAATAGAGCATTATATGGGCTGAAAGAATCACCAAAAGTGTGGAATGATACATTTAATGATTTTGCAAATAAAAATAACTTTACAAGATCCAGACATGATTGTTGTTTATATTATAATCAGAAAGTGTGGATAATAATCTACGTAGATGACATGTTACTACTAGGAAAGGACACAGACGTAGAAGATTGCGTAAAACTTTTAAAACAATATTTTGAAGCAAAAGACCTAGGAGAAATAAAGCATTTTTTGGGAATGAACATTACGAGGACAGAGAACAAGATAAAGATTGATCAGACAAAATTCATAGAGAAACTTTTAGCAAACTTTAATATGGAACAATGTAATCCAAAAAGAACACCAATGGAGAAAGGATTTCAGTATAAAGAAGACAGTAAAATACTAGAAAATGTTCCATATCGTCAATTAATAGGAGGACTTATGTATCTGACTACAACAACAAGACCTGATATTGGATACGCAATTTCTTATTTAAGTAGATTTTTAGATCGACCAACTATAGAGACGTGGAATGCAGGTAAAAGAATATTACGCTATTTACAAGGTACAAAGGAAATGGGACTTACTTATCATAAAAATTCAAATGTAGATACAACTTTACAAGGATATTCAGATGCAGACTGGGGAACAGATAAAGAAGATCGTAAGAGTGTTAGTGGATGTATGATACTTTATGGAAAGAATCCAGTATTTTGGTTTTCCAAGAAGCAAGGTTGCGTTGCGCTATCCTCAGCAGAAGCAGAGTATGTGGCAGCGTCAGCTTCAGCTCAAGATCTGATTAATTTAAAGGGAATAATAAAAGATTTTAACATTTTTAGCAATACAATTCTTTATTGTGACAACAAGAGTTCGATTCTAATGTCCAAAAGCAATGAGAACTCAAAAAGGTCAAAACATATTGATATCAGACATCATTACTTGAAAGATTTAGTTTTGGGTAAAGAAATTAGTATTGGGTATGTATCAACTGATCAGAATCTAGCTGATATAATGACAAAATCTTTAGGAAAAGAGATTTTTAATTTTCTTAGAAATAAGATTTATGTTTTGTAAATTTTTTTTTAATTTATTTTTTAAGCTTCGATTTTCGTATTTTTTTGTATACATTTCAAATCGAGGAGGAGTGTTGAATAATTTAGTTTTAATAAGATGTAATTAGAGAAGAAGAAGAAGAGTACTGTAACATAACCAATATGTAAGCACGTTGTCGTATAAAATAAAACTTAAGATTAAAATAATAGAAGTAGACTATTATTGTAGACATAAATCAACCCCCAGATACTGTAACATAATATACTATTAACCTCAATTATAACTGTGCGCGCAAATTCTACGCACGCGCAATTAAGCTCTTGATTAATGTCAGTAATTTTTTGTTCTTAAAATATTAAAAAAACTGTTAATAGCAATTGAAACAGTATGCCCTCAAAATTTAATAACAATTTGTGATAAAGTTAGATAATAAATAATGAACGTGTCATGATCTTTTGTAACAATGTCATTATTTTTTTTTAATTTTGATTGTAAAATGCAATCGAAAGAGCGATATTTTGACAGTATACCCTCAATTTTGTAATTTGTAATGAAGGTTTATTGGGACCAATTTTCAATGTTTTTACTTAAGTCGTTTTTTCGCGTAAATACTATGTAATACTACGGTTAAATAAGTCATGACGTCACAGTTAATTCATATAACCATGGTTAGGTTTCTAACATTTGACATTTGTTTACTTGTTCTTAACCTATAATTTTTGAAATTTGTTTTTACCTATTTATATTTTATTTCTATGCTTTTACCGGTGTAAATAAATTTCTTTGCCTCTTCTTATACCTAGTATATTCTTTTTCTATAGGTACTAGTTTTTTCAATACACGTTATCCAATTCTCCTACATGTTTAATACAAAATAAGGAAGAATATAAAACAAACCTGCATATAATTCCTCCACTTGTGGAGATTCCACAATATGGAGCACCCTATAATTTATTTTTACTGACAACACCCCGTTTACCATTTTAATACAAAGTTTAAATTCGGTTTAAGAGTACCTACTTAAAATATTTTAAATTTCAAATGTAAACAACTTTTTGACAGATCGAAACAGAGAAAAATATATATTAAAAAGAGAAAGACTATTAACCACGTTGAATAACTAGCTCAGCGATATAGTTTTATGGTCTGGTATTTGTGACGTCATAGTTAGGATTTTTGAACGCACTCTAAACGCAAAAATCCCTTAACTATTAACCAAGGTTAAGTTTAATAACCATAGTATTTCATGGTATTTACGCGAAAAAACGACTTTAAGTTTTGTTACTTAAAACAAAGCTTGCAAAATGTATGATTCTTGCATCGTGTAAAGCGGCTTTAAAAGCCGCTTTACACGATGCAAGTTTAAGGCAATGCAAGACACTTGCAAGGCCTTGCGAATGTCTTGCCTGATCGTTTACATGAAGCAAGTTTGGCGCAAGAGATGTTAAACGTCAGTCTTAATATAATATATTATGCAAGTAACACAGCCACACAAAAAAAAATTTGTGTTCTGATCTGGGGGCCTGACCATATTTTCTATATATTTTTGGGGTCGCTGAATCCGAATCCGAGGTCTATTTAACCCCATCACATCAGGATTTTGCCATAACCTTAAAAATCCCATCATATAAGCTATTACTATACATAACCCTGAGAATGTGGTTTTAATATAAAAATCCAAGCTCTTAAATATCACAACTTTATAACTCACATAACTCCATAACCCCATAACCCATTTAACCTCATAACTCAATGTACATCAACCACGTTTGTCAGATATTTAACTTAATATGTACGTTATTTTAATAACCGCATAACTTTAGTCTCTTCAAAGCTAAATGTCTGACATACGTAACTGTTGGAATTGATGTTGATGGGGTTAAATGGGTTACAAGGTTATGGGTTTAAGTGGTTTATGGGATGGGGTTAAAATGGTTATTGGGTTTAATAGCTTGGGTTTTCAGATCACAATTTCATCCTAAGGATTATATGTTTAAATAGATGATGGGGTTAAGTGGGTCATGGGGTTATGGGGTTAAGTGAGTTTTAGGCTTATAGTGTTTAGGAGCTTGGGTTTTTAGACAACAACTTAATATTTAGGGTTATATGCGTTTAATAGCTTAAATTATAGATTTTTTGAGGTTATGTCAAAATCCTGATGTGATGGGATTAAATAGACCTTGGATTCGGATTTAGCGACCCCAAAAACATAAAAGAAATATGGTCAGACCCCCAGATCAAAACACAAAAAAAAAATTGTGTTTTGATCTGGGGGCCTGACCATATTTTCTATATATTTTTGGGGTCGCTGAATCCGAATCCGAGGTCTATTTAACCCCATCACATCAGGATTTTGCCATAACCTTAAAAAACCCATCATATAAGCTATTACTATATATAACCCTGAGAATGTGGTTTTCATATAAAAATCCAAGCTCTTAAATATCACAACTTCATAACTCACATAACTCCATAACCCCATAACCCATTTAACCTCATAACTCAATGTACATCAACCAAGTTTGTCAGATATTTAACTTAATATGTACTAACCGCATAACTTTAGTCTCTTCAAAGCTAAATGTCTGAGATACGGAACTGTTGGAATTGATGTTGATGGGGTTAAATGGGTTACAAGGTTATGGGTTTAAGTGGTTTATGGGATGGGGTTAAAATGGTTATTGGGTTTAATAGCTTGGGTCTTCAGATCACAATTTCATCCTAAGGATTATATGTTTAAATAGATGATGGGGTTAAGTGGGTCATGGGGTTATGGAGTTAAGTGAGTTTTAGGCTTGTAGGGTTTAGGAGCTTGGGTTTTTAGACAACAACTTAATGTTTAGGGTTATATGCGTTTAATAGCTTAAATTATAGATTTTTTGAGGTTATGTCAAAATCCTGATGTGATGGGGTTAAATAGACCTTGGATTCGGATTCAGCGACCCCAAAAACATAAAAGAAATATGGTCAGACCCCCAGATCAAAACAAAAAAAAAATTTGTGTGGCTGTGTAATCAATGAAAAAAATAACTATAATTATATGTTTGGCAAGTTTAAATACAAAAAACATACAAATTATACACAATATCACAATACAAAATAAAAGAAAACAACTTAAAACAATAAAAAGTTACCAGACTTGCAAGGATCTTGCATGGAAAATAGCACAGGAACCTTCTATTTATTTCGTCTTGCAAGAGTGTTGCCTGGGCGCATGCATACAGTTACAAACTTTCTTGCATTGCTCTTGCCTTGCATAAAACTTGCGTCGTGTAGAGCGGCTTTTAAAAAAATCCTGCAAAAATGTTTCCATTTATTCTCCAATAAAATTGAAGTGGAGTAAATGTATATTTCCCTTTTAGTAAACAGCAATACCACTGATGTACCTTACCATCTATCCCCAACCCAAATAAGCATTGAGGATGATGTTTCAATGGATAGTACAAACACCGGAACAGAATTAATAGATGCCTTGGCAGTTGCAAGAGATAAGCAACTGATTTCAAAGGCGTTGGACACAATGGCAAGGGTGCAATCTTTGAATGGTGCTGACTTGGCAACATTGCCCACTGAAGAGAGGGCTTTCGAGTATGATGGTCCCATTTTGCAGGAACAACATGTGCCTTTTAACCTGCAAATCCCAGGCCCTGTTCCTCCATATTTAAACATACATTACATATGCGAGAGTGGTTCTAGACTGTTGTTTTTGTCTGTGCACTGGGCTAAAAATATACCGGCCTTCCAAATTTTAAGGTTTGTTATTGTGATTTTTGTTTGTGTTGTGTTATTATTCATACCATTTTTTTTTTAGTTCTGAGAGTCAAATTGCCTTGTTGAGGGGATGTTGGTCCGAGCTGTTTACACTTGGTTTGGCCCAATGTTCCCATTCATTATCCTTAAGTACAATTTTGTCTGCCTTAATAAGTCACCTACATGCTTCCATAGCCCAAGATAAAATGTCTCCGAATAAAGTTAAACAAGTTACAGATCACATAGTCAAACTCCAAGACTATGTTAACATAATGTCTAGGCTACATATAGATGATAAAGAATACGCCTACTTAAAAGCGATAGCTTTATTCTCTGTCGAGTTGCCCGACGTCGTTTTGAGGAAGCAATTGGAGCGTTTTCAGGAAAAATCGTTCCAGTCTTTGAGGAACTACGTCAACGTTAACTCTCCGGATGACTCGGACCGATTTCCAAGGTGATGCGCAGTAGGTGTTCCGTCTGCGCAGCATACTAACGAACTTTTTATTTTGTTGCAGATTGTTGCTGAGATTGCCGCCGTTGCGAGCCCTCGAGCCCAGTATACTTGAAGAGTTGTTTTTTGCCGCCCTTATTGGAAAAGTACAGATTGATTCGGTTATTCCCTATATTTTGCGAATGGGTTCAACCGGGAATAGAGTGAAGAGTGAGCTTATGGAAGAGTTTGGCTGTAAATAGCGTTTTATATTATTATTTATTATTATATTTAATAATTTTAGATTTGGGTATTATATTTGCTACTTAATATATTTTATACTGATCTCCCCAAAAAAATATTCATTTACTCTTATTCTTTTAATGCTTCATTAGTACCTGCTACTGTTTCTATGAAGTTGTAACATGTTTTTTTTATTTTTATTGTGTGCAATTGTGATACAATTTCAAAAACTACTTATAATGTGTATGTAGCAAGTTAAATGAATTATCTAAAGATATATTATAACTAAAGTAAGTTTAGGTGGTTTAACACCTTTAATATATTTTTAATTTAATGCACTGACTGAGTATTCAAATACAAATGGTGTGATTACCATTTTTTAATAATGGTATGTGCCTTTTATGAGACAATGTACCCAAATACCATATGTATTTTTTGTATAATATAAAACATTTTTTATATCATTTATTTTATTTATTATTTACCTACAACATAGTTTTCTGTTTTATATTTAACAATACAATTAACAGTTACCTGCTAAACAAATTTGCTTATCTAGCAGATAAGATATAATAACGTGACTCCAGCTAGTTAGGTGACAAACACCTTCCATAATGTATCATTGAACAATTTTCACCGTAATTTCTTTTGTTTTTCCTCTATTAATCCATTTAGTGAAGTGAAAATGCGTTACTACCTACTCTACACAGGATCCCTTCTAGCTTCTTTAGCTACAACAACCCTAGGTAAGAATTATTTTGAAAAAAAAGGTGTTGTCTTAAAGCATGTGACTAAGTAATGTGATATTTTTATAGTGCTTTACTATATTTTCACCGGAAAGGGGGAACAAATAAGCATAGCATGGTAAGTCATCCAACACCCCTAAACTATAAAAATCATAAAAATTAAATTTCACCAGGCTCTTACAAAGTATTTCGCCATATATGTGGGCATCACTGGGAATAGGACTGTCAGTATCCCTATCAGTGGTAGGGGCCGCTATGTAAGTCTAAAAGTTCAAGGGGGTTACTTTGTTGGGTCAAAGAAATTTTAAGAAGCTGTATACCTAAATATATCTTTATTAAAGAAAAACATTTTTTTGAAAGATAGACTTCATGTTCACATATTTTCAAGAGTTTTAAAACCACAAACAAATGGGCCCAACAAAGTCGAAGCCCTCCTTGGCACCAAAAATTTTAACACAATTATTTTAGCGGTATCCACACCACAGGTGTTAGCATAGTCGGGGCTGGTGTTAAAGCCCCCCGCATCAAAACCAAAAATTTAATTTCGATCATTTTTTGCGAAGCTGTGGCCATCTACGGACTAATTACAGCTATCGTTCTATCAGGAATTTTGCAAGTAAGATCAGTCAAAATATAAGCATCTATGAATAAACAAATATTTTATTTAGCACTACAATGTGGATCAGTACGCGACAGATTATAAATACTACGGTAAAAACGCCATGGGGGCTTATATTGTTTTTGGGGCTGGTTTAACTGTGGGTTTTGTAAACCTATTTTGTGGCATGTGCGTTGGAGTTGTAGGATCAGGAGCTGCCATAGCTGACGCGGCTAATTCCTCTTTATTCGTCAAAATTTTGATTATTGAAATTTTCGGAAGTGCTATAGGCCTATTTGGACTCATTGTGGGCGTTTATTTGGTAACAATAACCGTAATACATCCTAACATTAGGTTAATTTTATATGCTTTTAGACTTCTAAAGGCTCTATGGGTTAATTATAATCATGGAAGAAAGAAAATTAGTTTGTTGATGGGTTTATCAGCGAAATATTACTGTAAATATATGAAATGTAACTTTAATTTAAATACTTGGCTCAATAAATGTTTTGTTTTAATATTACTTATTTTAAATAATCGCGCCCTTTTAACAATTACAATTAAACCTTAAACATATTTAAATTTATTAAGCAATTATTAATAATGAATGTAGATTTATACTTGGGAACATAATAATAATAATTGCAATTACAATTAAATCATTACGATCGTACAACACTGTCCATCGATTTGGCAACGTGACCACGTAACGTTAATCCCATCTCTATTTCACTCGTATTTATTTAGTCTTGTCTCTTTTCACAATCTGTCAAAAACCACCCTAGTTCACGTGATTAAAATTGAGAAAATATTTTTCGTATTTAAAATAGTTTTTCTTTAATTTTTAAACCGAATAAATAGTGAAAAATGAGGGCCATACTAGGTTATACCTTTCTAGGATCTGCCACCTCAATAATAACCGTTCTAAGTAAGTAAATAGTGCTGATAACGTTGTCTAAACATTTGATTAGATAGAGCTCTCTAAAAATCTGATAAGGAAGCTCTAAGATGATTAATATGTTTGATTAGCGGTCTAATGTTTCTTTCCGAATGATTTTATAGGTTTATATCATGTTTTGACTGGAAGGGGAGAGAGGATAAGTTTGGGATGGTGAGAAAAAAATAATTTTCTTTAAAACTGTGTTTATAGTAGTTATCTTTAGGTTCCTTGAAAGTACTTCACCCCATATGTGGGCCACCATTGGAATTGGTCTGTCGGTCGCCTTATCTGTTGTTGGGGCTGCTGTGTAAGAGTTACTGCATTAAGTGGGTTAAATTTTGTATATAATTTCTTTATTTCAGTGGTATACACACAACAGGTGTTAGTATTGTTGGTGGAGGTGTAAAAGCGCCAAGAATTAAAACTAAGAATCTCATTTCCGTAATTTTCTGTGAAGCTGTTGCTATCTATGGCCTAATTACTGCTATAGTTCTCTCAGGTTACCTAGAAGTATGTATACAAAAAAATACATTGAAATTTGTGCTTATAAAACTTATTTTTTGTAGGATTTCACATGGGACCTTGTAGTGAAGGACCCAGCTCTCAAAGGTAAAAACTGGATGGCTGGATATCTCATGTTTGGCGCTGGGATTGCTGTAGGTTTGGTAAACCTTTTCTGTGGTATTTGTGTTGGTATTGTGGGTTCTGGAGCTGCCCTAGCTGATGCTGCCAATTCTGCATTGTTCGTCAAAATTCTTATTGTTGAGATTTTTGGTAGTGCTATTGGATTGTTTGGCTTAATCGTTGGCATTTACATTGTAAGTTATAATTTAAATTAATGTATTTAAGTGTTTTATTTTTTTGTTTTTTTAGGTTTCAAAGGTTCAGATGGGCGATAAGATTCATTAAATTGGTAAAGCTTAAGTAGTCGCGAAAATTCCACAAATTTTAGGTTTATTAATTAATTACTTAAGATAGAATGTATTGTGTATTTAAATTTTGTGTTTTTATCCTTAGCTAAAAAAATACCATTTATTGATTGTGTCTTATGTAATGTATATATTGTTATACCTCAAAAAGTATTTTCACCAATCAATTCTCAATTCCACTTTTAGTAATATTGATATTATTAGCAAAAGTAATTTAAATTATTGACAAAAATTAATTGTGTAAGTAATAGGAAGGTTAATGATTTTTTGTTAAAATGTATATATTAATTTTAAATACATTGTTTAAAATAACATTGATTTTTATTTTGTCACCTTAAAATTTATTGATTTTATCCCAATTTAACAAAATTTTTTCAACTCAACGTACAGGATACTGTAATTGTAATTTTAGTCTATCTCCGATAGATGGCGCGCTAATGTTTCAAAATCATATACTTACCACACAAGTGTGTTCAAAATCAAATCTTACCACTATGTTCGGGGTTTTCTATGTGTGGTAAGTACCTATACGTCCAAAATTACGCTTTTAAAAATATCCTGTGTACGAAATATTAATTATGTATGTAAAAATCACCCCATATAAGTAATTAATAACGCATAATAGAGTGTACATGAACGAGATATATTGAATCAATTTGGAAGTAAATAGTTTGGGGTCGAATTAACAACAGGACAGTAAAGTGCGTTTCTCCAAGTATTATGTAGATGAGGGATGAAAGCTGTCAGTCCCTTTGTCCAAATAGCATTATGCAAGTTACCGCGCCAAACAAAGGCATGTTAATTTATAGATTGTTATTACGATTCAGCTAGACAAACAGTCCGATAGAGTATTTAATGTACAGAATAAATATTTGTGTGTTTTAACGCGGCTATCAATAGGGTTTTTATCAAGTGTTATCCTCTGCCAATGACAACATCGGATGCTAATTATATTTTGATATTTTAGTTTGTTTAGTTTGCACACAAGGGGTTTATTATACATTAGGTACGATATTCGGTTGCCCTTATAATTTGTTATATGTATAACAGTTTTTTAAATAAAAAAAAGTCATAGGGCGATCAAAGACACGGATATGGAGCTTGGAGTTGTAGTAGTGCACAACGCTTATTTTTTAAGGCATTAACACTGTCTGCTACAATCATATTTAAATATAACATTTTATAAAATATACAAAAAGGGGTAATTTCTGCATACAATGTTAAGGGGTGGGGGTTTAGGCCACAAGTCATACAAAGGGCGTATACTATAGGGGTAAATGTTGACTGGAGGCGGCTAGAATTACAGTGGGCGGCTAAAGCGGTAACTGCCTGTGGCGTACTTGTTAACAATTGATAAACAAATAGAGATTTTGGTAATATGGAATTTGCTTATTATTAACAATGGGAATTGACAAAACCTGCCCACTAAATCTTTTTTCACCGCCCAGATAGCACTTACCTTTAAAATTTTCTATTTTCATTATTTCTGTCATAAGCATGCTTATAAATACTGCAGTATTTAGCAATATAGCTATAGCTATAGCGTATTCGTTTTAAAAATGCTATTCGGAGCCAGTGAGTGGGCGACTGAAATCTTCAGAGGCAAGATCGTCTGACGATCATCGTCACCGTGCCGAATTATTTCCCCCTCTTAAAAACCGAATGCTGCTATGATGCGTCAACTGTTTACACCAACAAAATAAAATACAATATAACATTGTTAAACTTTTTTGTTATTAATTTTAAGAAAAAAGTTTTTCTTCATAAAAAGTTTTGCATGTTCTAAAATATAAAATACAATTATCAGATATAAAAAATTCGTATACGCGGCTTGTCAAAAAATATGAATCTTACTCAAGAGTAAAGTACCTTTATATTTGACAATATCGAAACTTTTTATTAAAAAAAGTTTATAAGAACTAAAAACTACGTTCAAATATGCAATTACTTCCATTTACATGGAAAAAATATTTTTTTCTTTTTTTTTTACAATAACAATGCAAAAAAAAAATGTTCGGTATCGGTAATTTGAGATAAATTTGTAAAAAAAAATTGTTTAAGTAGAAGGATGTAATTGCATATTAAAACATAGTTTAGTGGAGAATATAATTGTGATTAATTTATAATTATATGAATATATTTATAAATTTTGTAATGTCAAATATCAGTTGTTAAAAAATGGGATAACTTTACCTTTGATGAAATTACGGCTCAAAAGAGACAAAGTTGCATTCCCAGCGTGCAAATACATATGTTTGTTTATTATAATTCTGACAGTTAAATGACAAATGTCAAAGTATTTAAAATTAAAGGCTTGTACAGAAGTACCAATTTGAAATGATAAAAATACCAAAGTATATTATCAAACTTGATGCATAATATACTATAACAGTGTAGTTTGTTCGTTATTAAAAAAGCTGTTGGACACTCATGTCTACTTAGTGAAATGCTATTAGAGTAAATATATATTTTGGGGTGGTTGGATATTGTTTGATGATTTAATAGTATGGGTAACTAATCGCGTAACGCTATTAGTTAGTTAGTTAGACCGAATCTATTCAAGTCAAATAATCGTATATATCTCAATAGAATTGTGCCCAATTATTATTTTTTATATTGTTTTAATATAAACTGAGAGAGAATGGTCATCCCCAATGTTTTCTGGATGAGTGATATTTAATAATTACATACTAGTTTAAGAGGTTTTTAGTGGGGAAAAAGACCCTTAAAAAATAAAACTGTCACTTGCCTACATTAGAGCGCGTTCTGAGGGAGCGTCAATTAAATTCGACAAATAAACTTTCTACTTGAATGGGTTTATTTCAAAAGCGTTTTAAAGAACCTTCAAATCAATACATTAAACTCGAATTGACAATTTATGGCACTCGATAGTTTTCTATTTGTGTAATAAATTTTAAAGTATTGAAAAAAGTTAAGTGCCAATTCGTTTTATTAAGGGTAGGCGCAAGATTATAAACAAATAAGTAGGTTAAATTTATTTCAGACGTTTAATGAGGATACACATATTACTTAAGTAGAAAGTATTAAATAATGAAGATACGACATGGCGATTACGTGTATTGGTATTGAACGTAATTACATAACATGTCTCAATGAATAATAATTTTACTTTCTCCTACTGCAATTATAAACAAAGCTTTCAGCCCTGTATGTTTTGGGTTAAACTTTAATATTTCATTTATGTCATTGTTGCAAAAAAACAAAACAACTGTTATTAATACTATTGTCAATATTGTATAGACGAAATTGAATGGTAGCAAATGAAAAATATGATAAGGGTTACTACCGCAGGACTTTGAATCAAGTACCATCATTATATTCTTATACAAAGGGTCATTATATATCAAAACATTATTTAATGGGGTGGATTGGTAATAAATAAATCCCTTCACATACCATTTTACTTCCTGTAAAGGTAGAAATAGTTTTTTATTATTTACATCAGTGATTAAAAAAAACTCTTAAATGTTAATTTACAGATGCATTCAAACAAAGGCTGGATTTAGTTCATTAGAACAGACTGTACGCAGGGGATGATTTCATGACATGCCGTTATTACTAGTTGCCCTGGCAACCGTACTGCATATACGCATAAAAGGCATCTATGTTACTAGGTATATGGGTTATAATACTCCAAATGAAAAGCATTTTTACAACAAAGATTAATTTTAATACATAGCTATTGCTGAATCATATATAAATCTGTTATATACTCTAATTATAGCGTGTTTTCATTTCAGATCGTTAAAAATTAAAAACATAAATTTCGATAAAATTGACTGCAAATAACATAATTAAAGAACAAATAAAAAATTCATGTGTTTTTTATTTGTATTTGACTTGAAAATTTTTGAGAAAAACTCATTTGTTTATTAACAATGTGCCATTGAACGTTTCTGCACCGTTTGATTGAAAAATCATTATCTCGTAAACTATTTAAAAAAAAATTGATGAACATTTCAATGGATGTTGAGAAATTAATGCAGTGAGCAATAACCTTCTCATTACGTGCTCATCGTCATTGCTGCAAATTTATATAATTTTTTTGTGATTACCCTTAAGGTTAATTATAAATTATATGAATTTTATAAATTGGCAACAATAACCAATAGCACGATAATGAGAAGGTTATTGCTCATTTCATTAATTTCTTGTGAATAAACAAATTAATTTTTCCAAAATTTTTGTAACGTTATATTAAGGAGTAAGACTATTTTCCAATAGAACTTAGTTCTAATTTTCCTTTCAACGTTAAAAATAGTAAGCACATTTGGGAAATTCGACTCATTTCCTATATTCCAATAAAGCATGTGTATAAAATTGGAGGATTACCCTTTAGTTAATTATAAATTATATGAATTTTATAAATTGGCAACAATAACCAATAGCTCGATAATGAGAAGGTTATTGCTCATTTCAATAATTTCTTGTGAATAAACAAATTAATTTTTCCAAAATTTTTAAAACGTGATATTAAAGAGTACACTATTTCCCAATATTAAGTTCTAATTTTCTTTTCAACGTTAAAAGTAGTAAGCTCATTTGGGAAATTCGACTCATTTCCTATATTCCAATAAAGTATGTGTTTAAAAATTGAAGGATGCGCCGGATGCTTAATCTGGAAAATCTACAATCATATATAAATCTGTTATACCTATCCACTAATTATAGGGTGTTTTTATTTCAAATCAAAAATTGTTAAAAATTAAAAACATATATTTTGAGAAAATTTACTGCAAATAATACAACTGAAGAACAAAGAAAAAACACATGTGTTTTTTATTTGTATTTGACTAGAGAATTTTTGAGAAAAACTCATTTGTTTATTAACAATGTGCCATTAAACGTTTTTGCACCGTTTGATTGAAAAATCATTATCTCGTAAACTATTTACAAAAAATTGATGAACATTTTAAAGGATGTTGAGAAATTAATGCAGAAAGCAATAACCTTCTCATTACGTGCTCATCGTCATTGCTGCAAATTTAAATCATTTTTATGTGATCACCCTTTAGGTTAATTATAAATTATATGAATTTTATAAATTGACAACAATAACCAATAGCACGATAATGAGAATGTTATTGCTCATTTCAATAATTTCTTGTGAATAAACAAATAAATTTTCAGAAAATTTTTGTAACGTTATATTTCCTATATTCCAATAAAGTATGTGTTTAAAAATTGGAGGATGCGCCGGGTGCTTAATCTTGAAAATCTACAATGATATATAAATCTGTTATATCCACTAATTATAGGGTGTTTTTATTTCAAATCAAAAATTGTTAAAAATTAAAAATCTATATTTCGATAAAATTTACTGCAAATAATACAATTGAAGAACAAAGAAAAAATACATGTGTTTTTTAGTTGTACAGTTGTATTCAATAAAAAAGCGTACAAGAATTAGAATGAGAGAAAACTGTCAAAATAATATTATTGCTTAAAACCGGCTTATCACTGACATAAGTCATTAAAATAATTACTATAGGTTATAAAGAGCATTGACGTCGTAAGTTAATTAAATATTACAAAAATTATTACCTTTTAGAAATGAAAAAAAAAACAAAGATTAAAAAAATTTAATATTTAGTCATGCATCCGTGTTTTTTTATTACTTGAGCCAATCTATTTGGGATAAGCTGAATTAAATTTAATAAAATATTTGGATTAATATCCTCCCAGCAGTATAGTAGGTATAGTATAGTTGTATAGTTTCCCATAAATCCTCAGATATCCCAAAAAAGCAGCATCCTGTTCAGGGGTGAACATTTTGGGACGACCTGAACCAACTTTTTGGTTTAGTAAATCTTCCTGTTCCCAGCGTTGCATAATTTTTAATATAGATTTTTTATTTCTATTATACCACGGTACGAATTGACCATTCTTCTTCGATTCTTGATACTTTTTGAGCCTTTTTAACTGACGAGGCATTTTTATTTTCTACTGTCAGTTATAGTGACTTAAGTCAGTGGAAAGCCGGTTTTACGCAATAATGTTGACAGGTTTCTCTCATTCTAATTCTTGTACGCTTTTTTAATGAATACAACTGTATTTGACTAGAAATTTTTTGAGAAAAACTCATTTGTTTATTAACAATGTGCCATTGAACGTTTCTGATTGAAAAATCATTATCTCGTAAACTATTAAAAAAAAATTGATGAACATTACAAAGAATGTTGAGAAATGAATACAGTGAGCAATAACCTTCTCATTACGTGCTCATCGTCATTGCTGCAAATTTATATAATTTGTATGTGATCACCCTTTAGGTTAATTATAAATTATATGAATGTTATAAATTGGCAACAATAACCAATAGCACGATAATGAGAAGGTTATTGCTCATTTCAATAATTTCTTGTGAATAAACAAATGAATTTTTACAAAATTTTTAAAACGTGATATTAAAGAGTAGACTATTTCCCAATACTAAGTTCTAATTTTCCTTTCAACGTTAAAAATAGTAAGCTCATTTGGGAAATTCGACTCATTTCGTATATATATTCCAATAAAGTATGTGTTTAAAAATTGAAGAATGCACCGGGTGCTTAATCTTAAAATTCTACAATCATATATAAATCTGTTATATCCACTAATTATAGGGTGTTTTTATTTCAAATCAAAAATTGTTAAAAATTAAAAATCTATATTTCGATAAAATATACTGCAAATAATACAATTGAAGAACAAAGAAAAAATGTATGTGTTTTTATTTGTATTTGACTAGAAAAATTTTGAGAAAAACTCATTTGTTTATTAACAATGTGCCATTGAACGTTTCTGATTGAAAAATCATTATCTCGTTAACTATTTAAAAAAAATTGATGAACATTTCAAAGGATGTTGAGAAATTAATACATGTATGCAACAATTGGCAACAATAACCAATAGCACGATAATGAGAAGGTTATTGCTCATTTCAATATTTTCTTGTGAATAAACAAATTAATTTTCCCAAAATTTTTAAAACGTGATATTTAAAGATTAGACTATTTCCCAATACTTAGTTCTAATTTTCCTTTCAACGTTAAAAATATCAAGCTCATTTGGGAAATTCGACTCATTTCGTATATTCCAATAAAGTATGTGTTTAAAAATTGGGTGCTTAATCTTAAAAATCCACAATCGTTGAATAGTCTATCATTGTTTATAAAACTCCCGTCGCCGGTTGGCAAATTTTACTTTCACTGTAAGCAAGCACGTAGCGGGGTAACCTGAATAGCAAGGTAATCCAGAGTCTGTCTAGAACAACATTCGATCCTACAATGTCCACTGTTATAATTTGTAATTATTGTTAACTATGTCAACGGTTAGTCAAATTGTGGTGAGGCTCGTGTTTGTGTTCTGCATAGTTTTAGTTTTGTTGACGGATTTTTCCGGTATTGTCTATAAGATTATCGGCGGAACAAAAAACGAGGGTGCCGCCAGTTTACCGCCAAGACCGAAGAACCCCGGATATGGAGACTCGAAAACCGACATAGACATAGATGCGGACATAGAAGATGACACCTTGCAAAGTTTTGGTAGTGATTTAATATTAAACTAACGAATTGTATATGTATTATTATATTTTTTAGGAGCCCCCTCATCCAAATCGCAAATCCTACAAACTATTAAAAACGCCTGTTTGCCCAAGCTAATATGTGAACTGACGGCATCACCCCAAAAAGAAAAATTGACAGATTCAGAAAAGTCCCTTTTAACTCTCTTAAAGTAAGTCGCATTTATTTCGAGTACATTTTCCTCAAGGTGAGCTAAATTTAATTTTTTCAAAATTAAATTCACCTATAGATTCTTACGGAAATACTTAACAACAAAAAACGGTCGCTTTCACTATGCTGTAATGTGTTTCATAACATTTTAAGTGATTGTTTATTTAGCAATGTCATATCCCAAGAATAAAAAATATATATACAGACTTAATAATAAAACTATTAATATTAGAATAATATATGTAGTGAAAAGCTTTTTATTTTTATTGAATCTGTGTACACCATAGAAAACCTTGGGAAATCAGAAAGTTAACTTTATGAAAAACAACTACCTTTGTTAATATGCATACGTATAATACGTATAAAACAAGGTTAAATCAATAAGTGAAACATTTCCCACTAATTATCAAATTAAGTTAATTTATAAAAATGTAAAATTTGTTTGGAACATTTTTATTAGTAGGCTAATGTTCTTGAAATTTGTTTCTAAAGAAAATGTTCTCTATAAAAAAGTAATTAGACAGCACCGTGCTCTGATTTCTATAGAGATCATTTTCTATTTTTTTGTTTTTAGAGACACTTCAATAAGTACCACTGCCGAACTCACATCGAAGTACCATTTTGCGGCTCACATGGGTCAATTAATAGCTGGTATTGAAGGGAATGGTTGTCATAATTTTTACCCTACGTGTCCCTTCCCTGGCATGCAAGTGTTGCAAATGATGAAAAAGGTCCGCATGAGATAATAAGAAGAAGGAATGAAATAATAATAGTTTTTTGTAGATAACCAGAAATAAAATCAAGATCAATATTTAAAATGTTACCTACGATATTTTACAAAATTGTTAAATATTTTGTAAGCTGATTGTGATATTATATTAAGTTGTTAATATGTAATGAGGAAAAAAAGACATTAATTAATAAGTAAATTATGTTGACCCATAAACATGTGTTTTTTTACCCTAATATATAAAAGTATATATAAAAAAATATTAGATCAATTTTGGCAAGCGTATTTTAACACAATGTGGATGTATGAAACAACAAAATTTTGTAAATTATAGCAATTTGAATTTTAAAACTTGGCTAAAAATTAATTAATTAATAATTTAATTTTTTTAGTATTAAAATTCATATAATAATTATATTTTGCGACACCGTAAATTAGCGTGTGCATTCATTAATCTTATTAAATAATTAATATCTACATTCATTTATAACGATTATGATTAAGTAATAGCAAGTAAACTTTGTATTAGTTCTTTATAAAAACTTTCTATCGCAAAAATATTAATATTTTGAATAAACTAAAATAGACATTGTATAACACTTGCTTTAAAATTTTTGTAAAAGGGACTTTTATTTCAACAATAGTTGACAAAAAATGGGTCCCATTTCTCCTAAACGCCCTAATTATTATAAACAATAAAAAAAAGGTTCGTCGTTTTATAGGCATTGGGGTCTCTTTTTGTAATGAATTTTTTGTGTGGTTTATTTCCTCGGCATCTAGTAATAATTAAATTTCAATACAACAATAAATTAAAAAAAATATTATATTAAAATTGAATAATGCAACGTTGATACGTGATAAATTAAACTGCCTTGCTATAGGCGTGTAGAGTGGTGGCCACTTTCACTCAAACATTACTTTAGTTCCACTGTCCTAAGATCGTTTAGTTGAAGCATTCGGAACAATCCATTAAAAAAATTATTCAACAAAATGAATTTGCTGCCGTTTTCAGTGTTCTCAGTGATTGGTGTCAATTTTTGTTTGTTTTTTATTTGTAATTTCGATGTTGTTGAGTCCCAACAGCCTGCTTTCGAATTGCCAGTGGAATTGGTTGGTTTTCCTATTATCATTGTGGCTGTGCGATTGTCGAATTTTGTCAAGAAATTGGCCTACTCTCTAAATCCAAGTAAGTATCTTTATAATTAATCCAATTAACAAACTAACAATGGACATTCTCTAGAAACTTATGTGGCTAGATCGAAGCGTGAGATAGCTTCAGATGAAATGATCGACATGATTGAAGCTGAGAAACGATTGGTCAAATCTTTAGGAGAAAATGTGTGCATTTACAAAAAAGTATGTCTACATCACGCAGAGAAGGCTCAAAAAACTTTAGGCAACAAAGAAAATAAACAAATTGATTGGGATGAAGTTTTTAGGTAAGTTTTTTAATTTGCTGTTTAAAATTATATTGGTAAATATTTTTTAATATTTTAGTAACTATAAAGAAGCCAAAGAACAGCAAAAAGAATTTTATTTACTTAGTGTTTTTTTGGGGGATTTCATAGCTTCCCCTAAATTCTGTACTCTCATGGCTAAAAGACGCCAGTGTTCCTCTTAAATACCTTTATGATTATATACATTAATTTGGCCATATAAATTAAAAACATAGTCGTAATGTGATAGTAGTGATAAACCAAATCCAGCTATATTGTTTTTGTTATTTGTAGTATTTATAATAAATGTATACCTACAAAGTAATTTTATTTTTGAACTCTTAGGTAACTATCTATTGCCTAACACATGGCATGTATTTATAATGTATTTGCATATGTCATTATTTTAATTTTCTCTTTCATTTTACTGAATTTCAATTAGGTTTAAACCCAAATTTCTAATATCATAAAACACATAAAAAATAACCCAATAAGACCAATATGTGCCTAACACCATTTTTTTGTCTTAAATTGAAAGTAGTTATGATGATTCAAAACAGTGTAGGATACATATAAAGTAAGTACACCTACGATAACTTTCTTATAGGTGAAATTTGGACATGAAAATTTGCGAACTTCAGTATTAAAATAATCTTCGGACAAATAGTATCTGCAAATATAATGGAAAACATTGTGATTATTTTGGTGATGTGTATATTTACGGTGAACTCCATTGAAACACCAAGGTAAATCTTTATTAAATTCTATGCTGGAATAATGTAAGTACCATGAAGAACAATTTTATACAAAGCGCTAAAGTTCTTGAACTCTTTGCAATACTTACCGCATTAAAACATTCTCAACCTGGATCTTATATTAATTATAAGTAGCTCAGGCCTCAACACAATTCCGCGCGCGCGGCTATTCTAAATAAATATAAAAAAGCACGTTGTTCCAGCATGGCATTCAATTGTAGTTGTAAAAATAATTTGGAATAACTACAATTTTATTTTAGGCAAAACAATGTCTACATGAATAATTACAACTATGACCCTTATGGTCAACAATATTTCCATCACAACCACAACCCTTACAGATATAAATACGATCCCAGCAATTTTTATCCAAGGCCTAATAATTTCAATTACAATCAAAATCAGTACTATCAGAATAATCAATATGGATATAGGCCTTATCCTGTTCAAAGACCAAATAGGAACACTTTAAACGAAGTCCTTCATAGTGTCGCAAGGAATGACGATTTACAATGTGTGCCAAGATTAATATGTGAAATGATTGCCGACTCAGAAGTGGCACCAAACAACGTAAAACTTCCTTTCAATTTGGACATGTCATCTATAGTTGGGTAAGTAGTTTAACAACCCCTTAAAACAATGCTAAATAATTATTTTTTAGTTTATTATCCTTGGTGAACGGAGTCAACTCATCCCCAGTCCTGCATTTCAGTAAAGCTGCTTTACTAGGCGTCGCAGGACGAAAGGATAGATCATCCTGCTACAGTGCATATCCTAGATGCCCTCAGGATCCCGATAAACTTGTACAATACCTAAACAACTATAACGGCGGATTTTTTAGGTATTTTAACGGGTTGCGCCCTCAATATAATCCCTACTTTAGAAACCACAACAAAATTGAAAAAAGGATACAAAACAAACCCGGCGTGTTTTATGATAATTTCAACAGTATTGTGGACAATACGGAGGATTACAGAATAAGATTTAAGGACGAGCTAGCAAGCACCAACTATCGTGTACCGAATTTTATATTTCCTAGACAAGAAAGACAATATGGGGATCATAATCAACAAATAACATTTCCACTGGACAATTCAGGACGGTGCAATCCTTACTACGAGAATTGCAGGGATAATAGACAATTGTTTCCTGGGCATGGAATAAAGGAGTTTAAGAAGCTACTGACCTTTAATTTGGGAGATAGAACTGGTACAGGCGATTTACGATTTTCCGAAGAAGAATTAATTTAGTTTTTGTATTGCTTTAATTAATTTATTAGAACTTAAAGTGGTTTGTAAATATATAATTTTCTTATTTTTTTTTCATTACTTATGAAACTTAATCTTAAACCTTCACTTAAACATAAATAATGTTAGGAAACCGGAAACAGTAGGTACCCATAAAACATTCTCTTCTCTTTTACTTTGAAAAACTGCTTTTATTTCGATTGTTAGTCTATTTTCAAGGGATAAATTTTGACGCCGGTAGATTCCCAAATTATAAATTCAAATATAGCAGTGGCGGCTGGTGGATTTTGGGCACATATAGTTATTAGGCATGGGACCCACATCAAAGTTATATGAGTTTATAATGACATTATATAGACAAGTTCTGCGCAAGCAGAATTTAAATTGAAGTTTGCGAAAAAAGTTAGTTTTTAAGTGTGCCCCCAGCCTCCTGGCCCCCCAAATTAAGATAATTCAAATTAAAGTGGTACAATATTTAATTCACTGAAGTTTACCGACAAATTTCAAATTTTATTAAAAAAATTCAAGAATTACAGGTTTTATACCATTTTAAATATTTTTTTATTTTAATAAAATAAATAATAAAAATTTAAAATGGTATAAAACCTGTAGTTCTTGAATTTTTTTAATAAAATTTGAAATTTGTCGATAAACTTCAGTGAATTAAATGTTGTACCACTTTAATTTGAATTATCTTAATTTGGGGGGGGGCAGGAGGCTGGGGGGCAAACTTAAAAACTAACTTTTTTTCGCAAACTTCAATTTAAATTCTGCTTGCGCAGAACTTGTCTATATAATATCATTATAAACTCATATAAATTTGATGTGGGTCCCATGTCTAATAACTGAGATATGGGTGTGCCCAAAATCCACCAGCCGCCACTGGATGTGTGTGATAATGTGATAATATTTTGCAATTATAGTAATAAAAAAATCAAAGGATAAAATATTTTCTTAACACAATCATATTTTAAAGTTATTTTAAAGTATTAATAATTGTTAGGTTTAATTAAAATAATAACGAGCAGAGTTGAAAATTACGTCAAAAATGTTTATTGGATGGTTACTTTATTTTCGTATAGATGTCGTTTTAAGAAATATTTAATTTAATATTTTTAGATAATATAATATAATAAGTATTTGCCGTAGAAAAAGTATGCTATGCAACTCGTTTATAAACATTTCTAGCTGCTAACTTAATTAAGCACTCGCTCGCAAGCTCGCTTGTGCCTAAATTAAATTCGCAACTGTCCTTTTAATTTAAAACATTTTGTGGTAAAAATGCTGGGTTCACCCCTGTGTTTTGAACGACTCTATTGCCGTATATGGGGCGGACACACGATTTATGCGCCGGATCAATATGCACAACTTTGTTTGGAAGGCAGGGTTGTATTGAGGGTATTTTTAATAATGAAGAAAATGCGTTTTTATGCTTATTACATTTATTTAAAATCAAGTATATAAAATTGAAAAATTACATTTGAAAGCCCATCGGTAGTAGACTTTTTTTATTTATATAAAATGGCAGTAAAAATTTGATACAATAAAAAAACCCGTTGTCTAAAAGATTTCGGAACTTTATTAGGTTTTGTAGGTAGTGTAGAATTGTTGCTTTAGACATTAGGCATTAACTGATCTTTTGCCACAAAAATATACAAAGGCATTAATTTTTTGTTGTCTTAAAAACCGAGGACTTCTTTATCACAGGCCTCGTGTGGGCTTGGTCCGATTCAGGTATTATACAAGGCAAAATAAAAAAAAATTGAACATGATTAAAACATATGGCATTTAAGTTTATAAAATCAATTAAACAATAACACACTATTACATAAAATTTAAGAAATAATAATAATTAAACCTAGTCATATCTAAAACAAAACGAGGACTATACTGACTAGGGAATAATCAACTAAAAAAAACAATCTGGCAATCGGAGATCAGTTTAAACAGGAGCTAATGTAAAGGCAACCTCAAATTTGACCGAAAGTTAATCGCTTATTGCTTTATTTATATAATTTTAAAGGAACAGTCTTTTTTAAGTACTAATAACTAAAAATTACCTAATGATTGCTTGGATTGATTTAGTTTAAAATTTATTAATCGTTGTTTTCGAAAAATAAGATGCGATTATTTTTGGTTAAATAAAAGGTGCATTTACATACATTACTGCCTCTTTGGCAAATCACAGAAACGCTTTGAAGAGCCAACTACAACTCGGCTTCTTAAGATCTACTTTACTATGTGCTATACTATATAATTATTTTAATTTCAATAAAATATCAGCATTTATATAAACCTATATCATGTATATAAAATATTTTAAAAAGCTATATATTTCATGCATGTATCGGGGAGCGAGCCGAATGATGAAAAAGGCCATTTGAGAAAAAATTAATCAAGTCAATTATTGGTCCAAGTAATGCTTAGTCAATTCAATAATTTCCCTAATTTTGAACTAAACTTTAACGAATTGACGTTATCACACATTAAACACTCTTCCAACATCGACTCAATCCAAAAAAAAAAAAAATAGGACAGACAGAAAAAAAATAGCATATATACATTGTCTCAAAATCGGCTGTAGCAAATAATTGAAATGCCGCAACCGCTATTCTAACTACGGAGATCATTTGAAAACCTTTCAGGGCAAGTGACTTGCGCAAGCTGCACAAGCTGCCCTCTATACTTAACCTTACTAGTCAGACTCATGGTAGCTTTCATTTTGGCTAGCCTTTTGGCACGACTCATCTCTTTGGCTAAACAGAATCCAACTTGAATCTATGTACAATTCATTTACAAATTTGTAACAGAAAACCATCCAAATATCATACAAAATACCTGAGAGTACTAACACCGCAGTACAACATGAGATCAATGCTTTGTTTAGATATTTTAGTTCTTTGGACTTTGGTCCTTAACATACAGCTCACACCCTATACACTCATTGGGTATTGTTTGATTATATAGATAAAAAAAAATTAATAAACAAAATCATCGTCCTATTGCTTAAGCCTAAGCAAACTAACTCAAATGAGATCCGTTAGTTTAGTTAAGCGACCCTTAATTTACACTTTACATATATTTATATTTATATATTTTGTTCGATCACTTTCAATAACTTTGGTGGTCTTACGTTGTAGGCCCATTACCGGGCCCGAAATATGTGCCAACCAACGCAGCCCAACATCGCGGTCCAAATTGAACAGGTAATGGTGTCGGGTAGCTTTGAAAGCAGGCTCTCTTTTGACCGCGACGGAGACAGAAAGTCCTGAAAAAAAATAAATATATAACAAAGTGCATTTTGAAGGACTCACTACGAGAGTCCTTCGCAAGGATAAAGAAAATCGTGTATATTAATATCGACCTTGCTCTAAATAAATATTTCCGAACAATGAAACGTGTCTTTTGTGCAAGGATAATTAACTAACTGCTACTAATTGATTTTTAAGTCAGTAAAAATATTGTCGACCCTTAAATAAATCGCATGAATATAAATGCGGACTTTGTGAACCATAAAATATTACATACGGTGCGGGTATCATTCAAGTATATGTGTGTTACACTTTCTGTAATTGTTTGGGGGTACGCGTAACGCTAACTTTACTACATTGTGTATAGTAATCAATCAAATTTTTTATGGTGAAAACCGGGGCGAACGCCGATAAAATGCAGTTTTTATTGAGATATATATAAAATTTTGATTTTCGAAACAATGAAAATATTAATAGTAAAAATAGAGTGAATTCCTTTGTGTTATTTTTTTGGTGAAAGGTAATAAAAGTAATCTGGCGTTTTAGTGTGCGATGGTTCGAGAGCGCGCATCTAAAAATAGTTATCAGTGTGGTGCGGTTCTTTGTTTTGATGAAAGCGAGCGAATTGCATCATGTACAGTAATAATATCGGTGCGTATTATTTGTTGCCTATAGTAATGTGCAATTATAGCGTAACGCGAATCGCGTGCAACGGGAACGAAAATAAACGAAATGCAAGAAGAAAAAGACGTACCTCTCGCGTTATAACTGGAGTCAAATCGTCGGCTATTTTGCGCAACGCAACGCCGATTTGCGCCCAATCTTGTCCGGATCCCGCGTTCACGATCGTCGTGATGTTGATTTTGGTCTCGTCGCAATCGCAGAACCTGCTGTTGGACCGCGCGCCGGACTCCTGGATGTTCTCCTGGATCATGGAAGACAACCATTCCAGATTGTTGGCCGATTCGTCGGCCGTTAGAGCGTCATGTCCATCGGTTTCCTCGACGACAATCCGACGGTTCGCCGATACGTTGCGCACTGCAAATTATTATTGTTGTTATTTTTAAAACGAACGGAGAGGGAGAATAATGATGATATACATCACAGCTGCATGCAGAGAATTAATGTTGTCGCATATTGCAGTTGTTTTCACGTTCAGTTTTCAACCAAGGACAATCGTAAAAGGCTTATTACTAATAAGTTACACAATCTATCTATTTACCTTAGAATGCATTGCATTAATAACAAGACAAGTTTGACTACTTCTCTGCAACGTAATAACAATTTCCAAGTGCGATAAATGGCCCCTCTTAAATATATCCATAAAAACGCACTTTTTTTTTTAAATATTAATATAAAAACAAATTGATTTACCTCTAGTGACAGCAGAAGAGAACAGGACCGGAGGGTTGATTCCTCTGGATTGTCTGACAGCGATCTGAAGCTGCGTTAAAAGCGACTGAAGCTGATTGATGTACACATCCACCTCGTTGTGGTCCTCGGGCATGTTGAACGGCACTGCCATGTTTATAATTATAAAACTTCAGCACAACACTGTGTAATAATGCAATAATAACGAACGTCGCACAAACAATGTGGAACTCACGCGTTCACTCTGTCCCAACACCGAAGCTACTAGTGCTCCGCGCAAAGCTCAATACACTACTGAGCTTGGTTGCATTGTCGCGTACGTTCGGATACCCAGGCTTTACCCTACACCCGTCACCCGCACTACCTAACAAAGGAATTGATTATCTAGTACAACATCTCATAAGGACGAAATGCATTTCCTTACTGCCGGCCAATAAACACAATCGATAGGCGGGTCCACTCATATCACACTTAAATATTGGCCAAATATTTAACTCTTTGTTATCAACTAATTACTATTACACTATTACACCACGATTTTTATACATCCTTGCGATAATCCTTTAAATACTTCGCAAGGGTAAAGGCACAGATAATACCACACCAAGAATCTTTTTTTAAATTTATTGCTTAACTTAATTTTAAAAATAAAAATAGAAAAAAATATTTTACTCAAAATTAAAAATAAATTAATTATAATGGCAAATATTTTTAACACCATTTTCACAAAATATAATTTTAAAGTATAAAACTCAAAATATTATACTTTTTTAAGGATATTTTTTTACTTTAACAAAGAACTTTATTAAATTATTTAAAAGAAACCTGTGTCAATTTCGATATTTAATTTATATGTTAAAATTTTAGGTTTAGTAGGTACCTAAATTAAAAAAGAAAATGTAAGGATTCTCACAATAAAATTTTATAAAATACCACAAAATTTATACCGTTTGTATTTAATCCAGAAGGTTTTTTTTTATTAAAATAACTAATACGGAAATTAGATTTATTAATGTTAAAGATACAATAAAATATTGTAAAAATTAAAAATAGATCTATAAATATTTAGAACTATACAGGGTGTCCCACTAACCCCACAGTTATAATAGTATATTATGTATCAAGTATCAAGTCACGAATTTAATTTTGATCGAGCTTGCGAGCGAGTGCTTCATTAAATGAGTGCCTATTATAGAAAAGTTTATAAACGAGTCAAATGTCAAATTTTTATGTGTTATAAATCGAAATGTATCCCTTAAAAATGGATTAACAACAGTTTTTCACAGTGAAAGTGAAGTAAATGTTTTATGAGCACTTCACGGTGGACTCCGAGCCCAATTTAAATTAAATCTAGTTTAATGCCGGCATACAGTACAATGTTCATATAAACTTTTCACATATTGACGATGAGAAACTATTGAATGCTTTTGTATTAAAATAATAAAATAATTTTTACATTTGACAACTGTCAACTAACTTAAAGCTAACTTCAGTCCGTGACATAAAGCCACAACTTGTTAATGTGTATTTAAAAGGTCACTTAGTGTCATGGAAACATGTACGATAATGGCCGTTTTAAAGGTAGGAGTAGAAAAACAAATTTAAACGTTTTTTCGGACAAGTAGTTGTCAAGTTTATAAAATTACACATCTAAATAAAAACGTTATCCACATAAACAATTTGTCAAAAAAAAACAATTTTTTTGTTTGTTTTTGAAACGTCATTAAAAAATTGTTGGATCAAAAATAAATTTTTATGTTTTCATTTAAGGCAATAAAATCGTATAAAACTAACAATCATATTAAAATATTCCGTGTTTAGATCTTGTTAAATATTAATGAAAAAATTCTTAACCGACTCCACACTCACGTTAAAAGAATTTATTGATTCGCTACTCTTTTGTCTACAAACTTAGAATCGTAAACTTTTAAAATAAAAAAAATTGTAGTAATTCTGAATTGTATGTACTGTAACAATTTTACATATTATTATATTTAAAGAAAACATTTATATTTGATGTTTTCTCACGTTTACCAATTTTTTTTGTTATTTAAAAACATTTTTTGGTTTTGTCTTTCTCCCCCGAAATGTCGAGATTAAATGGTTATGGAGAGGTTGATGCCCTTGTAAGGCATAAAATCTATTCTTTACCACCTGATGTTCTCAATATAGGTCCATCTAGGATTATCCGCATAAAAAAAGCTTCGCTCGAGGAACAATTTCATCTCTATTTCTCTTAATTTAAAATTAAAAAAAAAACGAAAAAAAATAAAACGCTCAAAAAAGTCTAAAAAGCAAAACAAAACGGTAAGAAATTGTCCCTTTTTAATTCAATTCTTGTCCCGTTCCAAACCAAACCAAATCAAAATCCGTTCCGCCGTTAAATACTTTCAAAAATGGCGAATGCGCCGGGGTTACAACTGAGTTGTAATTTATCCCCTTAGGGATGGAATTTCAAAAAATCATAGCTGTTATCCATGTCACTATGGGAATGCACTGTCAAAATTTTAGAATTTATATACGATGAGGATTAAACTTTTAGTACAGTTAATGTGTAAAAATTTCTTACAAAACCGTTTTTGAGAAAAATAAAATCCGAAAAAACAAAAAAAAAGCCCCATTCGATTTATATAAAAAAAATGGTTTTCTGACAAATTGACTACTATTTTATAAAAATGTAGAAAATTTAATGATTAAGTATGTGAAACCTAATTTTAAATTAGCGTCTACTGCCGATGCTAAAGTATGTAATTTTAGCACAGTGCTTTCAGTAATTGTATGCAATGTAGGTATTACTTATTAAATAATTACGATTAAATTGGGTCAAAATACGCTGTGTAAATTTCTTTCGATTTCGAGCAAGAATCGAACTGTTCTCTTTTGTTACCTGGAAGGGTGTATGAATCACCGATAAAAAAAACATGTTTGCAGACTCAAACTAGACGCTAAACTGGACAGAATCTTCTGGTCAAGGACAACGGTCGTCTTCTAATGCCTTTAAAATTTTACGCAAACAAAAAACATTCTCACGATCATCATGTTAAATTAAACGCATCCCCAATACGTTTTGTTTTTTAAAAAAGGGGATGACGAGATAACATTTTGATTGTATCTAATGATGTCCATGGGTTTTAATTTCATTAAAATAGCGTAACGTATCATTAACCGTTCAACGCTTAAATATTTTCAGGTGTGGCTTTGCTACCACCATAAACCACCCCCTAATGCTTTTTTAAAACAAATACGGGATACACAACATTAGGATGCATTAAAGAAAAAACCTAAGTCAACATGGTTTTCTACTGTTTTGAACTTATGGTCAACATCAGTGCCGTGTAGCTTTGCTTTGCACTACAGGCCTACCCGGAACTGATGAGTATTAGAAGTCCAAAACTGGCCTTATTTCATAAATTTTTGGTTGGCAGTTTTAATTTTTACAGGGTGTTCCAAAAACTACGTATTATTATTCTATAATATATTATACTATTATACAGCCCAAGCAGCATTTTAAGTAAAAGCGTAGAGCTTTGAGGCAATATTACTTAATTTAAGTAAATATTTTGTTAAATTAACCTTAAAAATTTACTTTGAAGTAATTTTTTTTTAAGTTATATTTATGTTATTTTTACCTATTTTTATAACCCTTAAGTTTCAACACTTAAAAGTATTATGAGTGACGTAATTTTTACGAAAGAAAATTACTTATAAGTGTATTTCACCTAAAGGAAAATTTAACGGTAATTTTAACGTCAGAATTTTTACTTAATGGTAAATGTTACTTATAAGTCAAAATTTTACGATATTAAGACCACTTTATAACCGTAAATAATTCCTATTCGCCTGGTATTTTTTAGGGTTATTAGTGGTAATAAATACTATTAATATTGACTAAACAAGGAAAAATAAGCTTAAAGTGAAAAATAAAACTTTTTTCAGGTCGCTATAATGAGTTTTTTAAGATGGCATCCATTACTTATCTATTATTCATAAATATTTTTCTAAAATATAATAAGGAAAGTTTTAGTTATTAAAAAATGATTAAAACTAAATTATTTTTAAAAGATTTTATAAAATTTTGTAGGTTTTAAGTTTTGTTGAATTTTTACCCAAGGGTCATTCCACGTTACTCGGGGATTTTTGTCCCCCGTCACAATTAAAAATTGTGAGTAAAAACTCCACGTTATAAAATTTATTTTAAAATATTGTTTATTATGCTTTTAATAAGTTATAAGCACAATAAAAATAATATTATTATTAATTATAAAATATTAATTTAATAACTTGTGGTTTTTACTCACAATTTTTAAATGTGACGGGCGGGACAAAAATTACCGAGTAACGTGGAATGCCCCCGAGCAATAATTTTTCTTAAAACTGTAAAATATTTAGAGGGTATATAATTTTTAAGATGTATAGTGCCTATATATTTTTATCAATAAAATAATGTGCGTTTGAGTTTTAATGCAAAATATTATTAGTTTTCACAATTTGAATTATATTTTTTAATTTTACTCTAGGGTGGCCTTTATTACTTTGTAAGTACCATTTTGTAAAATATAAATTAAAAGAACAAAGAAATTACGAATGTCAATGTTTTAGAAAGAAAGAGTAAACAGTCAGTTATTTTTACGTAAATTTGTGGTATTTATATTGTTTTTATTACATTATTTTCTATTAGATCAAAAAGGTTATTATTTAGGTATAATAACGAAATTTGGTAATTTTTCGTATCTATACCGTTTTGGTTAACCGTAAAAAATATTTGGTAGTAAATTTGTAGTTATTTAAACTTAAAATGCTGCTTGGGGGGAAGATTTAAAAAAAATACAATTTAAATTTAACAACATATATCTTTATTTACATATTATTTTACAATAAATTATAATAAGCCATTATCAAATATTAAATAACATACAGGGTGTTTCAAAACAAACAAAGATTAGTAAACAAATTCAATAAATAAAACATAAATAAAAACACCCTTTGTATGTGTAAAAATGGCAATACAAAGATAGTGAGATTTTAATTTTTAAAATGTCTTTAAATAAATAGCACCCTGTATTATTATTATACAAAACATACAATAAATGGGGTGATAAAATAAAAAAAACATAATAACATAAAATTACTCTAAACGCAGAGAAATATAAAAAGTAACGTCCCCAGAGAGAAGGACCTTATTGAAACACCTGCAAAATGCGTCATAGCCCGTATAACTTAAATCAAATTGCTGATGAATACAAGAGGAAACCGTTTTTGTAACAGGTAGGGTGAGCTCGTTTAAAATAGAAAAAAAACAACATACTAACAACGTCGATAGTAAACTCCATCTGGGACGCTATGTCGGCTGTATGGCGTGCAATATGACGACTGGTCCATCTGAACTTCTTCTATAGATGATGAATTCTGGAGAGAGAAGTTTTGTTTTAATTTTATACCGTAATAATTGTCAAAATTATGCAAATCTAAACCCTCACAGGTAGTACACCTGTAAATGTTCATACAATGAACATCACTGAAGCAAAAAATGTAAAAGTTAGCATATCTAATGCCCTAATGAATTTAGGTGTCATAGGACCCTAAAACCGTTATTAGTATTATATAGGTAGTAAGAGTATTAGATTTATAAATTGATGACACATCAACAACAACAAAAAAGATCGAAAATGATGTGTGCATATGATCATGGCGACATTATACACCTGTGTTTAATGATCCATGGGCAATGTGTATGAACCCCTGTCGGGCTTTTCGAACAACGTCGAAAATATACCCTTTTTTAAGTTGAATGAACCACATGTTTGTCTATTTTAGCCCTTTGTCACTTGTGCTTCTCATCGAAAGCTTAACTGAAATTTAGAAAAAAGTGTTGAAATCACCCCATTTTTTGATACATTATACGAATCAACTTAAAATCTTAAATGAATTGATGATGGGAATATTTGTTGATTCTCATGACTTTTTTCTAAAGATTACATCGAAAAATCATTGATGTTTGTAAAGGAAAAACACGCGCGTGAGTGTGCGTACATATGTGGCGATTTTAATTTAAATCATTAACATAAAATTACTTTTATTTTTAAATATGCATTAGGTAACATATGTCCCTGATTCCCATGATGCTCCCCTTGCGTTTTTCTCTTGATTTGAATAAAATTAAACCTATTTGCATTTTGCGTGAGGTATACAGAGGTGTTTGTGCATATGGGCCATTTGGTTTTTATTTATTAGTTTGCAATTTGCCACCAGAGGGCTTTCCTTAAAATTTGCAACTTATTAAAATTTTATAGAAAATGATGGGTGCGATAGATTTTGATTTAAAATAGTTTTGATACTTTTTCTAGCTATATGCAAATTAAATGGGTGTGTGTCATGTAAGTATAAATAGTGTTATCGGCAAGATAAAGCAGCGGAAATTAAATTTAGTTGCAAGTTAATTTTGTTATTTGCGTAAAAAAATAACAATGCCGTTAAGGTTTTAATAGCATGTCATTTGCAGAGCTCACACTGTTAAAAATTTTTATAATTTTACTAAACATGTTTAGGAAGTTTTTACGCACCATAATATAGTAATATTAAAACTTAGTTTCTTAAATTCACTACACGATTTATTACAACTCAATTTGGGAAAATTACAAAACGTTTGTTGAAATTCACTAAGCATTTATTAAAAATTTGTTCAGTAACATTACTATACAAGTATTGTAATTTTTCTAAAAAAAAATACTAAATATGTTTAGTAATTTTAAAATGGTGTGTTGTAATTATACTATACAATTCATAACAGCTCAGTTTAAGAAAATTACAAAATATATTTCACAATTTTACTGAACTGAAGAAAATTCGTTTCGCAATATTACATTACAATAGTTATTTATGTCATTAGGTTAAGAAGTAAGGCTTTTTGTGCTAAGCTCAAAGTTTGAAGGCCGACGCGTAGCGGAGGCCTACAATTGAGCGAAGCACAAAAAGACACTTCTTGGCCGAATGGCATACAACATTTTATCTTCAAAGCACTTTATATAGGTCAATTTAATTCAACATGAAAGCGGCCTAACCTCACGTTTTTAGAATCTCATTTATTTATTAGTTAAAGATTACATTAAATGTACAATAATTATTATTCCTTTTAGAAGCAGTAATAGTTTGACAATACCTAGCTACATGATTTAAGTAGAAATGGATTTTTGTAAGAAAATGGTTTACTTACTAGGTATGTAATTTCAATTTGTTTGCATTTTTATTTAAAAAATAGGTAGTTTGGAATGTTTACGCTGTGTTTAACATTTAATTTCACTGAAACCTTAAAGCAAATTAAAACTTAAAGATAATTTAAATCATAGAAAAAGAAAACACAACTGTGAAATCCACAGAAACCTCAAATTGCAATGTCCTAACCTCACTTTTTGTTTTATTATTCATATTTAATTTTACAATAATTTAATGAAAAATAATAAACATTAACAGTAAAACAAACAAATTAGTGCTTATTATAAATAAATTAAACCAGTTTAGTACGTTAATTTCTTAGAAAAGGATTAATTGTCAAAACAATACCCCTAGCGAGAAAAAATCGAACTAATTACTTGCCTCATAAAAATTTTTATCGGCCTAGGCCATAACAAGTTATTTCTTTATCGAATGTTGACAACAATAAAGTTTAAATTATAGACCGCGTGGAGATAAATATTATTATTTTGTACAACAAAGTACACTACAAATATTTATTAATTTACGAATGATGGTATTGTAATTATACTACAAAAAAACCCTGCAATTTTTTTAGTTTTTTCAAGAAACTTTCTTGACCCATTACTGTTAAGATTAAAAAAAATTGAACCTGTACCTTGCCAGAGTTTTTGTTTTAAGTGCGTTCCACCAACTTCAAATACCGACAGACAGCTAGATAGATATACCTATTTTGGGTCTTATCAATGTCGGGCAATTTGGTGTATTGGAACTAGGGTGCTTCATTTTAAAGCAACTTTTTTTTTTCAAAGTACCACCTAAAAATTTTGTAACCGGTCAGAAAACAAAAATGTTGAGCTATTACAATGCTCTTAATCTTTATTTTAAGCCGTTTCTATTCAATTTTTAAATATTTCCCTTTAAAAACCTTTAAAAAACAATGTTGTACAGTAAGAATATTTTTTCGAATTTCGAAAAAAAAATGTCGCTCATAAAATGAAGCATCCTAATTGGAACACACCAAAAACGAAAGACACCTGAGCTTATATACTGTCCACCTAAGCCAACCGAGGCGAGATGTAAGAACATCACGTGATTGCCGCAATCGGTACATACTATGCATTTTACATAACATTAAATTAAATCAAATTACAAATAACGTTTGTAAATCTGAGATGCTTTTTATTAGAAACTGTCAAACTGTTAGATAAAATTACAATGCGTGTAGGATTTATACATATAGATTGTAAAATTACAACTTATCTTAGTAGATTTGCCAACATGTCTTGGAAGATTACTCAAATTGTATTATAATTTTGTATTGGTATACACTGATTTGTAATTTTACTCATTCTTTGTTTTGCAAAACAAATTTTTAACAGTGCACGTGAAACGTTTTGGGTTTTTTTCATTTTCAGTCCGTTAAATCATATTAATATTTATTGCAGTTTTAGAGATTTAAAAGACATGTTCTTAAAATTAACATTAAAGCAAATAAAATAGAGTTTATTGTTATAAATTTAACGATATGGGTAAGTTTATGGTTTTCTTTGCTGTTAAAGTTTAACAATGAGTTATATGGACCCCCTGTTAACCATATCTAACAAGTATGAAGAAATAATCATTTTTACTTAGCCGTTTTTTATTCCCTTTTGTGTATATTTTGTTGTGCTGTGTTTCTTACGTACATTAAATTTTGTTAGCGCGTTTTTATTGCACAAACTCTTAAATCTTTTATGCATTTTATTTTTATTCATGAGCTTTAAGGCACGATTATTAAAACAACAATTATAAGTGCACAATGCCCAATAAAAATTTTCGCCAACCCCAGCATTTCTTATATATATGGGTGATTTCAATTTAAATAAAAGCAGATCGTTAAATCTAACTTTAAGATGGGTGCTAAATCCGATATAATACATACGGGCTCAGTAAAAAGGATCACGATCCTTAAAAAGGATACAATCCTCTATTTATCGCATGTAAAAATATTTTTAAATTAATTGGTTAAGGCTATAAATACAAAAAAACAACATTGATGACCTGAGGTCAACAACTGAGTATCATTCCCACTCATTGTCTGCTTTATAAAATAGCAGCAGCTTAGGTTTATATCCATGGATATATCATTCAACTTATATATACAGGATGAAACTCCTTGGTTTTGGTTTAAATTCTGTTAATGAAAACCATCACTTTTTACCCAGTTTATTAATTAACGTTAATTTACCAGCAAAAAAATATAACTTTTTGGTTAAGCAATATATTCAAATTAACCAAAGCTGTGGTTAACTTACCAAAAAGTTATTTCAAAATTTAAACTAAAAAAAATATGTCTAAAAAAATAACTAGTCTTAACCATTTTCAAAGGTTAAAATTAGAAGTTAATATAACGTTATGTAACCTCCAAAATAACCTACTGTTTAACTTAAGTAATATTACAAACTAGTTAAATATTTGGTTTATTTATGGTCAATTTAAACTCTTAAAATAACCTTATAGGTAAATTTAGGTTATTTTAGGTTATTTTAAGAGTTTAAATTTACTATAAATAAAACCAAATATTTAACTAGTTAGTAATATTACCAAAATGTTTTTTTATTAGTTAAATTATACTAAAAAATAACCTTTGCCTTAAGGTTATAGCAACCGGTTGGTAAATTTAAAGGATTGTTTTTTAGTTCATAGTAACCTTAAAAAAAAGTTAATGGTTAATTTACCAGCAAGTTAAAATATATTTGATAAAATATAACTTTTTGGTTAAATATTATATCCAAATTAACCAAAGCTGTGGTTAATTTCCCAAATAGTTATTTGTTTTACAAGTGTTGCATTAACACGAGCTTGAAGAAAGCTTTTCTCACAAGTATAACACAATGTTTTTTCTGCGACCCTTTTATTTTTTATTATTTTTAGATACAAAACAAAATAACCTAAAAACTTTTTTGACAGCTGAATGTCAAACGATGCTGTCAATTTCTTTTCACACAGACCTGTCACTTTTCACACAGAAATGTCACTTTGCATTCGTGTTTTGCCTTGCCAATGAAAAGATTCATTTTCTAAGCAACGATGCCATCATGAAAAGTGACTTTTACATAGTGGTCGTAGAAAAAGTTATTTCAAATTTAAACTAAAAAAAAATATGTCTAAAAAAATAACTAGTTTTAACCATTTTCAAAGGTTAAAATTAGAAGTTAATATAACGTTATGTAACC